CACAGTCCAACAGACAGAAGAAAGTAGGAGGAGAGGGGTGTCCTTACCGTATGTGGCGGGAGTTTCAGAGAAACTACAAAGAATCTTTAGGCAACACAAAATCCCTGTGTGTTTCAAACCTTTCAACACGTTAAGACAGAAATTAGTGCATCCCAAAGACAAAACACCCAGACACAAACAGAGCAATGTGGTGTATTCAATTAAATGTAGTGAAGAGGAGTGCACTGACCACTATATTGGAGAAACCAAACAAACTCTACAGAAACGACTTTACCAACATCGTAGAGAAAACTCTAGTGGGCCACAGTCGGCTGTTCATCTCCACCTCAAGGCCTCCAACCACACGGTGGATGACACAGAGGTTAAAATTCTGGCTCGGGAGAAGAATTGGTTTGAGAGAGGGGTGAAAGAAGCCATTTTTGTGAGGAAACAAAAACCTTCTCTTAACAGAGGAGGAAGGTTAAGATTTGTTTTGCCTCGCATCTATGACGACATCCTAAAAACAACGCCCTAACTTGGGACAAGGTCAGTGACATGCTAATGAGTTAGGAGGGGTGAGACCTGCACTCCACTTGAGCATCCCAGCAGACTAATAGCGCTTTTCCACAGCACCGGCACTACACCACTCTACGCGACACGTCACGACCCGGTCGAGTACGCGTGCTTTTCCACATATCTCCATCGGACATCTTCAAGTGGGTGGGCTTTTCATACCACGGTTACCGTTACGTCATTTCCGCTACCGTTACGTCATTTTCGCGCGACTCACGAACATTAAACCAGGAAAAACATTACATCCTCAAACAATGGAGGACTCCGAGACAATCGTGGTGTTGCTGCTCTCTCTGTGGCTACTAGTCACAAATAGACTGAAAAGCTTGAGAAGAATCCAGGCGGCGAGACACCAAAGAATGACGAAGTTATTGAAAACCTTGCAGGAGTTTGCAGTTGAGGACAGGAGACAACGAGCTGAAAAAAGACGACGTTTGTGGGTAAGCTAATATTGCTATCGCTAGCTTTGTAGCAGCCGTCCTGAACAAAATGGCTGCTGGCTGTCTCTGTAAATCATTAAAATGTGTATGCTGTATGTGTGTGTTTCAGATGCTTCTCGGGTTGCGTCGCCGCCGCAAGCCATCGGTGTGGGCCTTAAACCGAGCCTCCGAGTAGTGGGGATATTGTAGTCCCAAGCCATTGTGACTATTTCAACCGCAAAGGGTGGCATTCCATTATTCTCCAAGGTGTGGGTTGATGGAAAGGGGTTGTTTTGGAACGTGTTTTGCCGGATTGCCTGGGGAGCTTGCATGATGCCAGGGTCTTGAGACTCTCTAACTTGTGGGAGTTAGCCTGCCAGGGAAGCCTCTTCCCAGCTCACACAAGAGAAATTGGTGGGGTGACTGCTGGCTATTACCTCCTAGGGGACTCCGCCTACCCCCTGCGGAACTGGCTCCTAAAACCTTTTCAGGACACCGGACGACTGACAGACGAACAGCAACTATTCAACAGAAAATTCAGCAGAGGGCGGGTGGTTGTTGAAAATGCTTTCGGCAGGCTTAAAGGAAGATGGCGCTGTCTTCTGAAAAGGAATGACTCTGACACTGAACTGGTAAAGTCTATGGTGCTGGCTTGTTGTGCTCTGCACAATCTGTGCGAAAACCATGGAGAGACCTACGTGACAGAATGGGACACACCTGTAGCAACAGTTCAGCCTGTGGTAGCAGTGGCACAGGGTGCAGATGAGGGGGGCAGTGATGTTAGGGAGGGTCTGATGCGTCACTTTCTGTCCAATGTGTGAACATTTTGCCTGTTTTGGAACAAGAAATAAACCTTTTTGTATTCAGCAAAAATGCCTTCTATTCATATTTCACTCCTGGGAAAGTACAGGTATTACTCATATAGGTCACATTACAGTCACCACTCACAGAACAGTCGCAGGAATATGCCATCTGCTGCAGATGCTTCCTGGAATACTCACAATGAAGAGCAATAATCCTAAATAAAATCAATATCCAAACAGTTAACCTGGGCCCATTTAAACGCAGAGCTTCTAAAGTTCACTCCCAAAAACAAACTCAATTATGCAAATGACTTACAGGAATTGACACTACCCAACACGATGTCAAGACTTTGCATTTTCTCCAGATGCCAATTTCTGGACCCAAATCCGCAACATTTACTTTATGGCCAAAAACTCAAACTCAAACATACAACTCAAAGTCCTCCATAGATACCACTACAGAGACCGCTAACTTTTAAAAATGGGTTTCAGCACTTGCTCGCATTGCACAAAAATAGTGCTGATAACATTAATATAGATATGGATGTTAATAGCAATAATGAGAAACTCAAGAGGGCAAGTGGAGAGGTCCAACGCACCACTAGAACAGGACACAATGTATCGCAAGTATTGACAATCATAATGGATTCATTTTTTGTGCTGTTACTTGTTTTGTCATTGTAACCTTTTGGTGGGATATGCATGTATGTGTTCATGTATATGCAGAGAGCCAATATTGCATATTAATGAAATATTAATTCATACATTTTCAATCATACACCCATTAACCATTCCCACCATTACAAATACCTTTATTCCCTTTCAGATTTGGATCAGCCACTCGCACGTGCACACACACACTCTTTATCGTGCCTTTCTTACCCACTTTCCTAGCTTATTGTATTGTAACCAACACTGTACATTATCAGTAGTCTGTATTGTTCCCTGTAGGCTCCTCACTTCATGACTGGGAATAAATAAACCTTCTATTCCTAAATTTACCACAATTAAGGATTTACTGACAACAAATAACATGCAAACCAAAGGTTTCACATTAACTGTCATGTGTACCGAGAAATGAAACCTGTCTTGGAAAAAATCACACATTTATTTAAAAAAAAACAATTTTAAAGTGCACCAATAAAATTATTTACAAAGTGTCTTGGTGAAGAGTGTCAGTTTCGGCGGCCACTCATGGCTTCCACCAGCTGGCCCAGGAGACCAAGAAATGATTGGTTAAATGCAGCCGCCTGTGCATTTTCCTCCCTCCTCAATGTCGCTTCCAACTCTTGCGACTCTCTGACGAGCTGGAGTTGCTGTGTCCGGTTCAGCTCCTGCTGCACCACATCTTCAGCTTGGATCTGCCTCATCACTTCTACTGTCTCCGTCTGGAAGAGCGCCCTTTTTCTCTTCCCTGTACAACAATAAAAAAAGTATTAACAGTTGGTAATTATCCAAAGCAGTGACATTTCTGGAGACATACTTTTATGTAGGCAAAAAGATTATTACGTTTCAGAACAGTATATATCACACTACCCGAGATTTTGCAACAACTACCCTTTCAAAGAGGAAAAACCTCCAAATAAAGTGTTACGTGTGGGATCATTTTGACTTAATTGCAAATCGGGTAATGTTTGTATGTCATGCTTCACGCTTTGTCAATAAACAATATTTAATGGTCAATGTTTAGGCATTTTAGGACAAAGCATGAGCATGACTTAAATACACCCAGATTAATCAAATCAGTCAGTGCAGCTAAAATTACATTTCGCTGACTTTCTTTTTCATACCACAGTGAAGTGGTATTGTATCACAAATTAGATTTTTTATTTGGAAAAAGATCACTGACAGGTGGTCCGATTCCTTTTTTATTGACATTCTCTAAAGCTAGGGTGATAGTGTCCAAAATACGCATTAATTGGACATACTTCACCGAGTTGAATGCTATTACTTCTGAGATCCACCAGGTGTCGGTATAGCGCTGCACTGTTGCGGCACAGTATCAATGTAGTTGTATTATTTTTTTTTGCTGCTATAGGACATGAATTTCTCCCAGGGTGATGAATAAAATATCTATCGATCATGTATTATGTCTGCCCTGCGCCTTACCCGTGACCACACGCTGTGCGCTGCTAGACGTGTCGCTCGCCATCGAAGGGAACGCATCTCCAGGCGTCAAAGCTGCAGCTGGTTCTGGAGGGATTGGGGACGGGGACCTTGGGGGGTCGTTCGACGCTTCACTTGCGACAAGGGATTCTACAATAAGACAAACACACACAACGACTTAAGTAAAAGCACAAAACTGAATGGCAACACGTGAAATGGCAAGATGTAGCACGTGTTAGCAGCTTGCTATCGATAGCTTAAAGTAGCTAGCTCACTTTGTACAGCAGACAACAATCAATCAAACGTTTACATGAATAAATACATTCCAGTGGGCATTGAGCCACAGGTTACGTGATAATGCATTTTCACAATAACTACAGATAAAAGTTACAAAGCACTTACCATTATCGCCCATTCTCGACGTGGTAGAAGAGTCCAGAGCACACTCCCGTCCATTGTTTGCAGGCCTGTGGCCATAAATGGCATCCATCTCGGCATACCACCTCCAGGTCTTCCGATTGACCCCACTTCGGCCGTTGTGGTCCTTTATGGCCCGGTAATCGCACTTCATCTTTTTAATCTTGTCCCTGCACTGCTGATGCGTACGGTGGTAACCGTGTGTGAGCAAGAGCTGGGCGATCTCTTTATAGACCTTCTCATTTCGCGTACTGCCATCGAGCTCCTTCTGTATTCTGTCTTCGGCCAGTAAAGACAGAAATGTTTGGACCTCATCAACAGACCACGGTGTGGACTTTTGCGGCTTGCTGGATTCCATTTCTCGAAGCGGAGTGCAGTGCGTATGCTCACAGGGCAGTTTTAAAAATGGCGGGGTTGAATCTTGTCTCTCAATACGGTCAGACGTCGCACTTATGACGCTACCAGTGACGACAGTCGTTGGCCAATAGTGTGAGAGAGCCGTTGGCCAATAGCGTAGGCAGTCCGCTTACGTCACGAGAGTGTAGCTTTTTGGAACCGCTCCCGAGGCGGTCCAAAAATAGAACACAATACCTAGCTTCAACGCTAGTGGAAATGCAAAAGTAACGCGCCGTGTCGTGTAGAGTGGTGTAGTGCCGGTGCTGTGGAAAAGCGCTAAAAGAGACACCAGCTATGTTTCTCCTGCTCAGGTTGTAATGACACCCTGCAGCCACACCAGCCCAGGGAGGCCCAGGGAGGCCCTGGTGTTGATGGTCTTGATGGTTCCTGGTCTTACCTCAGAGTGTGTGATGCGTACTCCGTTGTAGAAGGACATGACGGTGTTGGCCTCAGCCTGAGTCTTGGAGAACAGCCCCTGACCTGCCCCTGGGATCAGAGAGTCTGCCACGTACACTCTGCGCACACACACACACATTATTATAATTATTATAATCATCAAAGTCTGCCACGTACACTCTGCACACACACAATATATTATTAACAAACAGGTCATACTGCTTCATCTGCTCAGTACCCGTGTCTCTCGTACCCGTGTCTCTCGTACCCATGTCTCTCGAACCCGTGTCTCTCGAACCCGTCTCTCGTACCCGTGTCTCTCGTACCCGTGTCTCTCGTACCCGTGTCTCTCGTACCCGTGTCTCTCGTACCCGTCTCTCTCGTACCCGTCTCTCTCGTACCCGTGTCTCTCGTACCCGTGTCTCTCGTACCCGTGTCTCTCGTACCCATGTCTCTCGAACCCGTCTCTCTCGAACCCGTCTCTCTCGTACCCGTGTCTCTCGTACCCGTGTCTCTCGTACCCGTGTCTCTCGTACCCGTGTCTCTCGTACCCGTGTCTCTCGTAACCGTGTCTCGTACCCGTGTCTCTTGTACCCGTCTCTCTCGTACCCGTGTCTCTTGTACCCGTGTCTCTTGTACCTGTGTCTCTCGTACCTGTGTCTCTCGTACCCGTCTCTCTCGTACCCGTGTCTCTCGTACCCGTGTCTCTCGTACCTGTCTCTCTCGTACCCGTCTCTCTCGTACCCGTGTCTCTCGTACCCGTGTCTCTTGTACCCGTTCTCTCGTACCTGTCTCTCTCGTACCTGTCTCTCTCGTACCCGTCTCTCTCGTGTCTCTCGTACCCGTGTCTCTTGTACCCGTGTCTCTCGTACCCGTGTCTCTCATACCCGTGTCTCTTGTACCCGTCTCTCTCGTACCCGTGTCTCTCGTACCCGTGTCTCTCGTACCCGTGTCTCTTGTACCCGTGTCTCTCGTACCCGTCTCTCTCGTACCCGTGTCTCTCGTACCCGTGTCTCTCGTACCCGTCTCTCTCGTACCCGTGTCTCTCGTACCCGTGTCTCTCGTACCCGTGTCTCTCGTACCCGTGTCTCTTGTACCCGTGTCTCTCGTACCTGTGTCTCTCGTAGGGGTCGGGGAGCAGAGCGTGTGCAGTGATGCAGCTGGACGTGGACTTGTCATACGTGTAAACTGCACCTGCATCAACAGTTTGAAAATGTGTTTAATTTGTACGTGTTGTGAGACGACCTGGAGTGCCCAGATTTTTTTTTTTTTATATACAGTGGGGCAAAAAAGTATTTAGTCAGCCACCGATTGTGCAAGTTCTCCCACTTAAAATAATGACGGAGGTCTGCAATTTTCATCATAGGTTCACTTCAACTGTGAGAGACAGAATGTGAAAAAAAATCCAGGAATTCACATTTTTAAAGAATTTATTTGTAAATTATGGTGGAAAATAAGTATTTGGTCACTTCAAACAAGGAAGATCTCTGACTCTCACAGACCTGTAACTTCTTCTTTAAGAAGCTCTTCTGTCCTCCACTCATTACCTGTATTAATGGCACCTGTTTGAACTCATCTGTATAAAAGACACCTGTCCACAGCCTCAAACAGTCAGACTCCAAACTCCACTATGGCCAAGACCAAAGAGCTGTCGAAGGACACCAGGAAAAGAATTGTAGACCTGCACCAGACTGGGAAGAGTGAATCTACATTAGGCAAGCAGCTTGGTGTGAACAAATCAACTGTGGGAGCAATTATCAGAAAATGGAAGACATACAAGACCACTGATAATCTCCCTCGATCGCAAGATCTCATCCCGTGGGGTCAAAATGATCATGAGAACAGAATCAAAAATCCCAGAACCACACGGGGGGACCTGGTGAATGACCTGCAGAGAGCTGGGACCAAAGTAACAAAGGTTACCATCAGTAACACACTACGACGACAGGGAATCAAACCCTGCAATGCCAGACGTGTCCCCCTGCTGAAGCCAGTGCATGTCCAGGCCCGTCTGAAGTTTTCCAGAGAGCACATGGATGATACAGCAGAGGATTGGGAGAATGTCATGTGGTCAGAGGAAACCAAAGTAGAACTGTTTGGTATAAACTCAACTTGTCGTGTTTGGAGGAAGAAGAATACTGAGTTGCATCCCAAGAACAGCATACCTACTGTGAAGCATGGGGGTGGAAACGTCATGCTTTGGGGCTGTTTTCTGCTAAAGGGACAGGACGACTGATCTGTGTTAAGGAAAGAATGAATGGGGCCATGTATCGTGAGATTTTGAGCCAAAACCTCCTTCCATCAGTGAGAGCTTTGAAGATGAAACATGGCTGGGTCTTCCAGCACGACAATGATCCCAAACACACCGCCCGGGCAACGAAGGAGTGGCTCCGTAAGAAGCATTTGGAAGTCCGTGTTGCTCGGCTACAGCCCCAAAACCTCACTGAGAAGAAATACCAGTGCAAACCTGGTGAAGACCTATAGTAATCGTTTGACCTCTGTTATTGCCAACAAAGGTTATATTACAAAGTATTGAGTTGAATTTTTGTTTTTGACCAAATACTTGGTCAAAAAATGGGCGGCACGGTGGCTGAGTGGATAGCACTCTCGCCTCTCAGCAAGAAGGTCCTGGGTTCAAATCCCGGTTGGACCAGGGCCTTTCTGAGTGGAGTTTGCATGTTCTCCCCGTGTCTGCGTAGGTTTCCTCCGGGTGCTCCGGTTTCCCCTACCACTAAAAATATGTACAATAGGTCTGGCATGTGCCTCCTGTACTGGCGACCCCCACTCCCAAAAAATAACAATTGTAAACCGCTTTGAGACTCCGATGTGCAGTGAAAAGGCGGTATATAAATAAAGATTACTATTACTTACTTACTTACTTATTTTCCACCATAATTTACAAATACATTCTTTAAAAATCTTACAATGTGAATTCCTGGATTTTTTTTCTACATTCTGTCTCTCACAGTTGAAGTGAACCTATGATGAAATTTTACAGACCTCTGTCATTATTTTAAGTGGTAGAACTTGCACAATCGGTGGCTGCCTAAATACTTTTTTGCCCCACTGTATATACATCATATATAATTAGGTATTATAAATACATAAATAAGACATTATTCTCACTGTTGGGAGCCAGTTCAAACTTCGGCCTCTGGGTGTCACTGTTGAGCACAGTGGCGAGTCGGGCCTCGATCAGTTCTCCTTCCATGAACGTCCCGCACAGCGCCGTCTGTCCGTCGGGGTAAACGTAGGCCACGGCGTTCCCCGTCATCTCGCCGTCTGCATTCACACGGCCCAACACGCAGCCGCCATCCTGCACCCGGCCACAGGGGGCAGGATTATTTGGAAAGCACAGTTCATAAACGAGCAACAGGACTGAACTAAACATCATTAATAATCTCAGTCATTATTACAGCAGGAATGTGCTCCTGTGCTCCTCAGAGTCCCACCAGGAGGCCAGTCCCTGTGCTCCTCAGAGTCCCACCAGGAGGCCAGTCCCTGTGCTCCTCAGAGTCCCACCAGGAGGCCAGTCCCTGTGCTCCTCAGAGTCCCACCAGGAGGCCAGTCCCTGTGCTCCTCAGAGTCCCAGCAGGAGGCCAGTCCCTGTGCTCCTCAGAGTCCCACCAGGAGGCCAGTCCCTGTGCTCCTCAGAGTCCCAGCAGGAGGCCAGTCCCTGTGCTCCTCAGAGTCCCAGCAGGAGGCCAGTCCCTGTGCTCCTCAGAGTCCCAGCAGGAGGCCAGTCCCTGTGCTCCTCATGTTACAGATTGAGAGACTGTAACAATCAGACCTGACTAGTTTTAGAAAGAATGTTTTAAGGTATTATCAGATGGACTCACAGGGTAGGACTCACAGGGTAGGACTCACAGGGTAGGACTCACAGGGTAGGACTCACAGGGTAGGACTCACAGGGTAGGACTCACAGGGTAGGACTCACAGGGTAGGACTCACAGGGTAGTAGATGGCGCAGTCCCCGCAGCGGCTGTTGTCCTTGTACTGGCCCCTGAAGGCGAGGCGGCCGTCGCTGTGGTACTCTGTGGCCGGGCCGTTCAGTTCTCCGTCAGCGTAGGTCCCACAGAGCTGCGCCCCGTCCTCGTACGTGTACACGCCCTGTCCCTGCAGCGCGTCCTCCACGTAGTGGCCCTCCAGGGTACTGCACACAACAAACAAGTGTCACTGTGGAGAGGACATATCTGTCTTTGAGCTTAATGTCTCTGTACACTGTCCCTTCAAATAAAGACTAAACTAAAACTAGGCTTGAGTGGGCGGAGTCAAAGTCCTGACGTCACTGTAGCATAAGTCACTGAGTGGGCGGAGTCAAAGCCCTGACGTCACTGTAGCATAAGTCACTGAGTGGGCGGAGTCAAAGTCCTGACGTCACTGCAGCATAAGTCAGACTGAGTGGGCGGAGTCAAAGTCCTGATGTCACTGTAGCATGTCACTGAGTGGGCGGAGTCAAAGTCCTGACGTCACTGTAGCATAAGTCACTGAGTGGGCGGAGTCAAAGTCCTGACGTCACTGTAGCATAAGTCACTGAGTGGGCGGAGTCAAAGTCCTGACGTCACTGTAGCATAAGTCACTGAGTGGGCGGAGTCAAAGTCCTGACGTCACTGTAGCATAAGTGACTGTCATGACACTGGCGACTCTCATGAAGCAGTCACAGCTCAGTTCTTACTACCGTCCTGTACTTTCCTCACTTTCTCTCATCTTATGTTTATTTGTGGTCGTTGTAGTAAGAATTGTATTTCAAACGTATGCAGAATTAAATTAAACAAGATAAAAAATAAACTATTTGAAAAAAAGGTTGGCCGAAGCAAACGTTTATTACCTCTCACTCATTCAATAAGTAAGTCCTGATTATTTATAAAGCGCCTTTCACAGACCAGAGTCACAAAGAGCTTTACAGTTGTTACATTAGTCTCCTACTTCACACAGATGGAGCAGTCACCTACAGGAGGCACATGTCAGACTGGGAAACCTGAGCACCTGGAGGAAACCTACATGGACACGGGGAGAGTGCCAACCACTGGGGAGAGGGCTAACCACTGCCAATACACACAGACAACACAAGAAAGTTTCCAGACGCCCTGAACATTATTTGAGCAGTTTTTTTAGCACCAAAGTTTGAAGCCTCTGAGATCTGGACCACTGTGTCCTTCCACCTGAACACATCCAGATTACTCACAGTTTCTACTTTTAGCTCATTGTCCATTGTTTAGAAGTAACTTTTTCTTCACACACTTCCACCTCTGTGCTGTGGTCATTTACCTTCCATCAAAGAAGTAGAACTTTCCCTTTCCGTTCTTTTCTCCGTGGGTGAAGTGTCCCTCGAAGCGGTCGCAGGAGGAGTATGTGACGGTGCAGAAGCCATGGGGCAGACCGTCCTCATCCAAAGGGCCTGCACACAACACAACACACGACACACAACACAACACGTACACAACACACCAGTCAGAAGCTACCACAACTATTTCTTTAAAGAACAAATATACATTGACATACACATACCCTATAGAGCAGCAAAGATGTCGATGATGATGATGTCGATGATTTTAAGTCCCAAATTAAGACACATTTGTTTAGATCGGCCTTCTCGCCTCACTGTTCATAGGCCTCTGTGAACTGTGTTTTTTCTGTATCTTTGTTTTAATCTGACTTGTATGTGTATTTTATGTGTTTTAATGTGTGAAGCGCTTTGTGACCCTAGTCTGTGAAATGCGCTATACAATTAAACTTTACTTACTTACTATTTATGTTTATTCTCTTTGCATTTCCTTCTGCTGTGATCAGAGCCATTTTAGAGTTATACAGTATCTTTAAAAACATTACATCAAAGTAATACATTAGTTGACGAGCACAATAATCGATTAACTTGTTACAGCCACTGAATCTGTCACAATCATGATGTACTATAATAACAGCCCTACAGCTACAGGCTCGTGACAGTTTACTGCTCTTGTTTCCTGTCGGACTCATAACAGTGGGGCACCAGCAGCTGTACTATAATAACAGCCCTACAGCTACAGGCACGTGACAGTTTACTGCTCTTGTTTCCCGTCGGACTCATAACAGTGGGGCACCAGCAGCTGTACTATAATAACAGCCCTACAGCTACAGGCACGTGACAGTTTACTGCTCTTGTTTCCCGTCGGACTCATAACAGTGGGGCACCAGCAGCTGACAGCCGCTCGCTAACCATGCTAACTATGCTAACAGCTAAACAGCGGTGATCCAGGCGACTTCAATCCGCCTTCCAGCGCCTGTCATGCGGATCTTTCTTAACTTCAGACCGCGGCTTCCCCTCGCACAGTTTGCAAACTCCGCGGGATCGTTAACAACAGTAGTCGGGCTGAAACTGTTGGGGCTCCCGGACAGACACCGACAGACCCACGGGTACAGTACCTTCCACGGTCTCCTCCAACGCTTCGTCGTCGCTGTCCATGAGGCTGACGCTGGGGCCGGGGCTGAGGCCGGAGGGGCTGGGGAGAGGCCGGGAGAGGGGCTTCCTGCCTCGGATGCAGCGTCAGGAGGGTGGACGGACAGAAACATGCTCCAAAATAGATATTAGTGGCGCCACCTGCAGGTGAAAGTCAGACCCAGTCAGACTTGTGAGAGCCAGAGATCTTCCATGTTTGAAGTGACCTCTAAGAAACACAGTATAAAGTGCCAAACTGTCATTGTGTCCTGAAGCAAGTCACTTATTCTCTATATTTTAGAACATTATATACTTTAGAAATGTTTTATTATGCCTCAAACCTTCTCTACTTTTTACTTGTTTGCACCAAGAGCCAAAGCTATTTCCGAGTCTGTGACTTACTGTAACTTACATGGCAATAAAAAAGATTCTGAATGAGTCTGAGGTGAAAGGTTGGTTTGTGGTCAAAGTGGCTGATGGCACATACTGGCTGGCTTCAGTCCATGAGCCCCAGGGCATCTGAAACTTGTTGCATAATTAAAATGTTGTATACTAATGATTTTGAAAATAGGCCCTCTGAAGAAGGTGCACGGGGAAAAGCCCCAAGGACAAAGGAATATGCACTCAGGAATCATAGAGATGACCAGCTTTCAAAACGGGACAAATTATTAACTCCAGGAATAAACAAATGCTCTCTCCCACTCTGGACGAGGGCAAAAGTCCAACACAATCAGGCGCCCAGTGGTGGGGGGCATTGTTTGCTCAGGTGGAGAGGGAAGACCAAGACCGGGTCCAGACCAGGGGCCAGACCAGTCCCAGACTGTGACGTCATCGGACCCTTTGATAGAAACTGCTCTGGGGGGGGGCAGTCAGCCGTCAGTAGAGAGGGACCTTCCAAAACAATAGATTCTTCAGCGAGAGACCACAGTGATGGAAAGTTAATGCACCGTGATGTCCACTCTCAAAGCCACTGGGTCACTACACGGTCAAAAAGTTGGGGTTTTTTTACATAAAAAGTGAATAATGGCCTTTTAACGACAGCTATATTAACTAAAATGTACTAGAACTCAATGATCCTGTAAAAACAAAGGAAATGATGTAGAAAAAGCCAAAACAAAAACATATTTCTGTGGTTGATGAGAATTCGAATGCATTGGCTTTTAAAACGTACCCTTCACTCCAGTCTCAGCTCTGTGGTGTGTGCGAGGCTGCATGTAAGGCCTATTTCCTTAACAATGGAAACTTACTTCCTATGCCCAGCTACAAAAATTGAAGGCCGCAAAACTGGGGTCCTGCCATAGTTGTAAATTTCCAATCCCTAAAAATGAAACGCTAACTTTCTCTGCTAAATATGAACCATAAATCATGTTAATGTTTCCAGCTTTACAAGTGCCCCGTCACCGAGCACGTCATATATTTTTCCTGGCAATTTGCGAATCCATAACGAGGGCTTTTGTCTCTTGAGCTTTTTGCAGTTGCTTCCAATGCGCGGGGGAAAGATTGAAATGGAGTGTGGAAAATGGCACATGTGATGGTTTTCATACAGTAGCCACAGGGACTGAACGGTTTTGGCAAAATATTTCCTATCAATTTTCATACAAAGGCGTTGCTGAACTTGGTTGGGTTCTGTTCTGCTGTTGTTGTTAACTTCAGCTGTTTTTGATAAGCGTCTGATTCGTCCAACCCATTTAAGTAAATAAGTAAGTAAGTAAGTGAGTAAGTGATCTTTAATTATATACCGCCTTTCACAGACCAGAGTCACAAAGCGGTTTACAATTGTTATTTTTGGGCACTTGTCTCTCACTCCACACAGAGATGGGAGCGGGGCCAGTACAGGAGGCACATGCCAGACCTATTGTACATGTTTTTAATGGTAGGGGAAACCGGAGTACCCAAAGGAAACCTACGCAGACACGGGGAGAACATGCAAACTCCACTCAGAAAAAAGAGGGAGCCTCCGCAGTCCTCGTTGTACAGCCTGAGTCCTAGATCTATAGCCTGTTAGTAATATTTTTTGTTTTGAGATTTTCCTTACCGATACAGTACGGTCTAAGGACAGTGATGATACGTGACATTTATGCACATTTATTTGAACAGCTTAATTCTTGGATCTGTTGTTGCTGAGTCAACAACTTTACAATTTAGAGATAAACAAAAATATAATGAATCATACCAGTCAATGTGGGTGAAGTGACTTTCCCAAGGACACGGCAGTTTGGCACTTTACAGTTGCAGCCGCCCCACCGGCGAGATCTGTCGGTCAAGAATAGGGATTGATCGATTCCGGTACGAGTTCTATGATATTGGTTAATAACTGATATCCTCATTTAGCTTTTGAAATAATGTAATCAAGTCATAATGTATTTGTTTGGCACAATTCATAAACCAGGAAACCCACAGTCTGCCATAATAAAAATAGAAGCATGCATTAAAAACAGCAATTAAAACATTATAAATTAGATTTAGATTAGAGGCTTTAAGCCTCACATGATGAAGGTTGCATGTTTTGGTTTTGATCTCCCTCTTGGCCCGGGCCTCTCTGAGCAGAGTTTGTAAGTTATTCCCTGTGTCTGGGTTTCCTCTAGCCTGGTCGTACCACACCATAGTACAAATTACATTACATACTAGAGCTCCGTTTACAGATAGGGGGGTTAACTCCTTTTGCAGATTGAAACGATTGGATCTGAGTTTATCGTGACATATGTAATGTGCCCGAGTGAGTCGTTAGCATTTAGCCTAGCCATCTCCTTTGCCGCTAACGGAGCCCGTGGGGACTAGCGCCACAATTTTTTCTAGCGATTACATTTGCTAAACATCCCTCTTGCTCCGGCTTCAATTTCTTGATAGAACCAGACCGGATTACTTTACTAATGCATGTTTTTCCATTGCCAAACTACAACCTGCCCGTTCGACGCAAGCTCTTGACATCACCCACAACTAACTACAACACCCGCCTCCCGCGCTCTCTGATTGGTCGGTCAAAATTCAAGCGATTGTAATCGCTAACACAGGGACCAGACCCAGACGTTACATGCAGTGAAATGATGATTGAGCGGAGTGTACGGATGGATAAGGCCAGACTAGGTTAGGTTTCCTCCATTCGCTACGGTTTCCCCCAACCAGACAAAACATGAGGACCATGGGTACAATTTGAAGTTATTTGACAAGGAGGAAATTGCTGGTATTGATTCATGTTCAGGCCAAAGTATCAAGATCGGTATAGGGCATGAAAAAGTTGGATCGGTGCAAACCTTATCCAAGAACAAAGACAAAATGATCGTTGCTGGGCAGAGAAATCTTCAAACCAGTGAAGTATCTAATTCTTGCAGCTCTAAAAGTCAAACCAAGTGTCAGAGGACAACACACTCTTAACAAAGCGCCTCTTAAGTGAGTCATAGTCCCAAAGTTTCAGCTTGCACTTGTTGAGGGGCAGCTGCCTGAAGACCCCACACTGACCTGTGGAGTAAAGGCCAGCACTCGCCACAGCATTTTTAAAAGCACTCTAAATACAAACCATTATTTTGAAACTAAATCTGCAAACACCTACATCGCAGAATGTGATTTTGATTGAAGAAACGGATTGATTATGACTTATCTGCTGTGTGTGTCTCTGCTCCTCTCTGTCTTACAAATGATGACATTTATGAGGAATTTCACTTTTAAATCATCATTTGAATAGTAGTGAGCACTCTAAATGAAAGTATCCAGTTTAATATGTTTTAGAATAAAATATGATTTACAATACTTTTGCACACATAAAAGTTATTTGTGTCAGGATTAGAACGTAAATAAATAGTTCGAACTTTTGCCTTTACTCCTTTTGGATAACATTGAATTTTTTTACATTTGTTGAGGTGGCTTAGGCGTTCTGTTTCAACTGGTCCCAACTGGAGGAGGCTCTGAGGAAGACCCACGACACACTAGAGGGTGTATGTCTCTCATCTGGCCTGGGAACACCTCAGGAGCTGGAGGACGTGTGTGGAGAGGGTGGTCTGGAGTCTGTTGCCTCCATGACCCAGCAACGGATAAAGCGGAAGAAAATGAATGGATTCATGGATCAATAAAGATCCAGTCAGTGATTTTTTCCAGATGCATTTTTTTACATTTTAATTTTGAATATTGTGGGAAAACGTCCCTAAACCCTAAAAGTAGTCAAGTAGTCATGTGTTTTCAAATAGTCTTGGAATTGACGCCTGCAGTCTCTAAAAATGTATGGAGCGGACCGATAAAAATAAACCTGTTGTGACAAAGAAAAGAAAATGCTGGATGTTTGGTTTGGTGGAGAGGCGAGGGGAGGGGGGAGTGGTTTCGAGTTGGTGCTACGGCTAAGCTAACAATCGCTAACTGCATCTTTAACTAATAATATTAACTTTAATATTACCCTGGTTTGTCTCAGGTCTTGTAGTACATAATGATACATGTTTAAGACTCTAAGTTGCACAGATGTAACTTTTGAAAGTCTGCAGTTAGAGTGGGGCGGAGATAGCATTAAACTGTTGTTGTGCCCTGAGGCAAGACACTTCACAAACTATGAACCTGGTGAATGAATGATGGGGATGAGAAGGCCTACCCTCTCTATTGTTTGTATTAACGTGTCTTTTAAAAATAAAATGCTCAACAGGTTAACATAAAAAACAAGACCATCAAAAGTTCAAATTCGTAGACCGTATAATCCTGTCTCTTCATCTCAGCTGAAGAAAGGCCTTTCCTAAAAAAAAAAGAGAACATAAAACAAAAAATATCTACGTGTTCTAAAAAGATATGTGAATATAACAGGTCATATTCTTGTTTCTGCCCTGGGCTTGGCTGCTTCTCTCAAAGAAAATTAAATAACAAACGGGCAATAAAACCTTTTTTGGCTTCGATGGAAAGATTGAGTCAGCGATAAGTGCAACTTCAAATGAAAATGAATAACAGTGAATCATGTGAACTGAATTTTAGGGCAGTGGTTCATTGTGGTGCAAAAGAATAAAGGGATACAGTGTAAGGTAGACTGCAGCTGCTGCGAGAACAAACCCAGCTCATGTGCCCTTATTTGTAACGACGTGTGAAGCGTCTCGTTCTCTGCTCCGTGTCTTATCAGAGAAACAGGACTTGGAGTCATTGTCACTAGGGTACGGGTTGACAATGACGGAGAAAATGTTTGTTTTTTCCCCTTTTAAATTCCATATACAGTGTTGTTTGCAAATGTAAAAATGTATTTCATAACATAATCCATTACGAAAGAGAGGCCTGCATTTCAAAAGCTGTCACGGTCATTTGTATATTATTCTAGTGCCAGAAATGTTTCATTATAATGAAAACCACATTTTTGTCAATCATTATCTGCCTTGATTGTCAAGTTTTTTTTTTCAAGTGAAGTGTTTTTTTCCAAGCATTTAGATTTCTTTTTAAAAAAATTTTTGAAAAAATATTATTGTTCAGTGCGGAAAAATCCGCTCTAAGATATTCTATTTTAACAAGACATTTCCCTGATTTGTCAATTTAAGAACGAATTTGCATAGATTCATCCACTATTTCTTATTTCCTTGGTATTCATATATATTTTTGTATTCCATTGTTACTTTCACATCAGACCTGTGTGTGTGTGTGTGTGTATCTATGCGTGTGTGTGTGTGTGTGTGTGTATCTATGCGTGTGTGTGCGTGTGTGTGTGTATCTGTACATTTTGACTGTATTTTAAAATTGAAAGAGGCTAAAAACTGGTCTCTCCATCTTACATCTTACTGTAAGTACTGTATATCTTCAACCTGGCCAGGGACCATGGGGGGAAACCAGGCAGATGAAATACTTTTTTGTCCTTGATCAAATAAAAAAAATCAATTTAATTCAATATTTTGTTGCTTGTGAAGGCTATGAATAATTACATTATTTTTTACATTCTTACATTTGCTAATCGTGAATCGTCAAATTGTGATGAATCTTGCAGCTCTACTTCCCAAAGAGGACAAACAGAAGTGAGTGTGCAGCTAATGGTTATAGCTCTGTCTGAAGTAAAGACCAGTTTTCCTCTGAGACACTTGAAACAAACAGATCATGGTAAATATGTCATTTAATGCTCCAATAGACATTGTCGCCAGTGTGAGGCATTAAGCTGCTATGCACAGTATGTGGCTGTAAATGGTTTCATGGCAACATTCAAACAGCTGGCCTATGGAGGTGACTTCCCTCTGTGCATATATCTCAGCGTTAAGCTAAACATAAACATCGCAGGCTCCTGATAATTAGCGATACATGCTGGAAAGAGATTTAAGTCACATGACCATGGGCTAAAAAGTTGAAATCGGTGTTGCATAAGATTCTCAATGTGCAACTTTGCATCTACTGTACATGTATGACAAAACATGTGAACAAAAACACTACTGGTGTGAAATAGAAGAATCTAAGTAACTAGTACCTCGCTCTCAGAACAGTTTTATCACTAATGTTCACATGCATGTATTTTGGGCCTCAATCACATTTTTCAATCAGCTTTTTCAGAAGTTTAAAGTTAAACAGAGAAAGCCACAATTGACTTAGCCAATCAGCTCTCAGCACAATGCATCAAATAGTGACTCACAGGGCTCTTTCTTTCTTTATTTACTAGTTTGCAAAAGCTAACATGCTTTCAAACAAGAGGAAGACAGCATGTTGTGGTCTGATTTGTTAAAAAATGTACTTGCGTTACTTATATACAATAAAAATATATGTTTATCTGTTAAAAAAAAATGGATTGCTTTGTGTTGCCTTGTGTAGGAAAGGTGTTCTACAAATAACAGTTTGATTGATCGATTAAATTCACAAGTCACTCCAAAGTCCATCACCCTAAAACCATAACACACTCTTATCTGTCTTATCCTTTAACTGTAATTATTGTAAATCGTCATAATGCCATAAGACTCATAAAAATCAAAGTAAAGGCCTACACCCCTCAATTTTACAACAAAACTCTGTTCAAGGGAGATGACCGAGCAGAACCAGGGCTACATCCTCCTCTGCACACCGCCACACATAACAGCCCAAGTTGGAACTAATCCCAAGGCCCACGACCAACCAGCACTTTTTTATAGAAACAAAAGGCAATTATACAGTGTAGCTAGGAGTTAATTTAAGATGCTAAAGGTGGCTCAGTAACTGGCTTTCCTTTGTACTCTAATCTCCATATTAATAAACCGACATGCCACAGACTGGATTGCCCTCTATTTGTGGAGCTATGGTTCAGTAAAATGAACGCTTTCAGAGGCCATTTTCGACATCACAAACAAATGGGTGTGGGAGGGGTCAGGGGATAAGAAAACACCAGCATCCACAGGGCTTCCCTCACACCCCGGGAACTACGCCACAGCGTACCCCCCGTAGGGTCAGATTTCTCCTGTCGTGGACTCATGGTGCTCAACGCTGACCGGACAGCAGAAAAACAGCTGGCCTCAAGGCACTCAAACTGTTGTGTACTTAAGTCAGTCAACAGAGTTTTTTTTCTAGCATTCATATGACACTGTCTTACCTGATGATCCCAGGAAGTAGCGCTCGAGAACAGATCCAAAGCCGGACGGGTTGCTCTTCAAATCGCTCACAATAAAAGGCTGCATAGTTGCATTCTGGTCATTGATGGGCCACGTCTGTCCCTTCACGCTGGCTCCACCGTACCAAGACATATTGGCCATAGAAAAGCAGTCCTATGCAGAAGCACGCACGGTTTAAAACAGGAAGAGGAACTTTTCCCAGCACAAAATCTGTACTTGAGCCTTTTTTATACAGTCCATTTTGTTGTCAACCAACATTTTGCCAACAAAATGCAAAATCAAGGGATTTTAAATACAATACAGAGAATAGGCCACATTCTTTATAGGTCTGAACAATCTTAGATTAATATCATTCCTTTTTTTTATCACAATTGAGTGAGTCAGGTAAAAATTGTTTGTGAGTTTAACTCCACTTAAAACACCTTGTACTTTTCTGCCACATTATTGGTATTGTTCAAATTTAATTGTGTGTCAATAAATATCAATAAATACCTTGAAAAAATGTGACACCTGGACATTTCTTTTAGACTATCAAACTTGAAATGGAAAATTGGAAATATTTTGATCTTTCTTTTTTCAGCTCTAACTCTACACTGGGTATGCACAATAGAGGCTAAACAACTGTAGTGCAAAATGTTCCCATTTGTGCACAGATTATGTGGCATATGAGCTTTTTGAGCTTCCTTATTCCTTTACCACCAAACAGTATTGTTGAGATGTTCTATATATGAGCAACACGTGACAAGGAGTTACAGCAAGGAATGTTCCAGTAGGCACAGATTAACCTCCAAACAGTTCTGAGGAAAGAATATTAAGTAGGATGTGCTTAGTAGAACCAGAAACACAACAGATGGATTTGAAGGGATAACTGTTCAAGATGCCAGCAACTCAGGCCATATAATCTTGGGTGATAATATTTTAGTCATTAAGCCCTACAACTCAATTAATCAAGCAAATAAATATGATCAATATCTATGATCTTCCATGAATGAAATGGAGTTGTTACCTTGAGCTGCACATGGCAGTGCACCGGTGTCCAGCTCATGCTGTAGCACTCGCTCTCTGTATCTTCATTGACTTCTAAGGAGATCTTCACTTCAGCCACAGAGTCCCAGGTGTAGCAGAACTCAGTCTTATTGAGCCAGCACAGGTTTCTCACAAACGGCACCTCCAAGTCCTGGTTCCCCACGTTGCCCACATCTATCTCCACGTATGTCGTGTCCTCGGACAGTGTCTGGATGACCAGTGAGTGCGTCCTCCTCTCCCAGATGAGTCCACTAAAAGTCCCGCGGAGGATCCAGTTCTTGTTGGGCTGGTCCACCACTTGCCAGTAAATGATCCCTATAGTCATCACAAAGAAGACGGCCACCCCGAGGCAGGCAATCGCTCCTTTCCAGGTCTCGTTCATCTCCTTCAATCCCGTGTCCCATGTTACCTCTGGGATGGGGCTGGGGTTCCTATTTCGAGCGTGGGGCATGTTGACTTTCAGATCAGAAAAGAATCACAATGCACAAAAAAAAATCGGAAAAAATGTGTTGTTCATCATCATGCCGTGATGTTTTTCATTGTGAGGCTATGTAGGATAAAACAGCCGACACTTTATCTTTATACCGTTTAAACTTTTGGATGTTTTTGCGCAATAGTGCCAGTGACCTGTCATGTGAAAAAGGCTGTGTGAAATAACCAAAAGCCTTAGCCGTCAAATCACACAGTGCGAATATATAAGTGACTTACCACATAATGCTGCAGTTTGAAATCAATTGGGTTTGTATATTGCATTGGCTACAGTGAGCTGAGCAGCCCAAAAGCCGGGTTTGGCAGCGCTGCCTCCGAATAGCTCCTATGAGACCGTCTTGCTTGCCCTGCACTTTCTGACGTAACGCGGAGCCGTTTCTTCACAGGAAAGGTAGAGAGGGGGAAAGAAGTGGGGAATTAGGCGTGTTTAAGTAAGTCCAAACTTGAAGCCACTATGAGCAACGAGGCACCCCACAATCCAGTGACAGCGATCCACTCTGTGCGTAGTCGAGAGCTCTCCATGCGCAATGCGCGCGTAAAGACACTGGACACACCATCTGCGTCAGATGGGTGCACGCGGTTCGGCTGCTCGCACGAATTTTTTTGTTTTGATTTATATTCTCAGAAAGTTTGTTGACATTAATTAATGATTAAGAACACATGAATAAGAGTGTGTTTGGGTTCATTTGAATAATACTTGTAATGTAAACGTCACTTGCATCTCCACAAACTTGGCTCGTACATAAAGAGGAGAATATCTTCTTGTTTTAATAGAAATTAAGCTCCTTTTGTTATTCTTTTCCACATTATATTTATGGCATTGTTGCTTATCAAGGCTTTTAAGTGAAGGTGATGGAATTTTAGTTTTTATACTGTCAAACTTTTATTCTTCACAAAAATAGATTATATGTAAATTTGTGGGATTAGAAATATATATTTAAATGCCACTTATAGCCAGTAACTAAATGATATACCTACAAGTATGTGATGATAGTGTGGTTCAATGACTTAAATAATATTTTTTTAGGCCATCAAGCATTATAATGAGACTATTTCTGTGTTGTTTCAAGTTATAGGAAATATGAAGTAAAACAAGAATGTGGGATAAAAATGCTATTAAGATTTAGAGATCCTTTATTCGTCCCACGGTGGGGAAAATTGCATCACAGAACAGTTACAGAACAGAAGGAGCATCTTTAGCATAATAAGGAAAGAAGTCTTAAAATCTCCAACTTTAGCATGAAGTAGCAAGACCACCTGAAACTCACATGGATCTATAGGTAACTCCCTACCACCAGAGGGAGGAGTTTGGTTTTTTTTTCCCCTCCAAATTTGAAAATTGTAAAGATCATAACTTCAACTGAGAAATGGCAAAACTAGTTTTTGGGCCCTACTTTTGTTTCAAGAGGAATAAAATTGTGATGCCATAGTGATCTAATGACATCATACTATCATACAGGACTGAGACACAAGCTTTTAGAAAGAAGGGGTGGAGTTTGTTTGTGCCAGAAGTTTATGATATTAGCCATACATATTAGCGTGGGTGGATCTAAAACAACTTACGGTCTGTTTTTTAATAATATAACAATGTTGTAACGTGGTTAAAAGCTCAACAGACAATTTTGCATAAGATGGCTTGGTTTTCTACCAGAGAAGAGTAAGTGCTGGTTTTCAAAACATAGATGAGAAAAACACATCCTAATTATAGCCCTTAGCCCACCTTTTCTACAATGTCACTAGGTGTTGAACATTTATGACATAAGATATACTGTCACCTCAATGCTGAGCTTAAACTTATTTTGAAATGCACTCTTCAAAGGAGTGGGACATCCTTTCACTCTCTTTCACAGAAAACAGGAAGAGATCAGTGATTGTTCACCACTGCCCTTCGAAACCTTTATTCCATACATCGTTCCATCTGAAATGTGTCTTTAAATGTTTATAAAAGCCGTAAATAGGATGAGGAAGACCAAGGCTCTAACATTGTTTTAATTGTTGGTTAAGGTCTTCCGTGGGGCTGTACACCAGATATCCCAGGAGTGTCGGCTGCATACCTTGAAGATCAGTTGCTCCTGTCCCTGTTTATGCATGTCAGCCCCCACGATCCATGGCATAGCTCTGGCAGGGACAGAGAAACTGGATAAGGCTGTGGGAACCTGTGAGAGACTTCAAGCTAATAGCCAACCTAAAAGTGCACAAGAAGTTAAAATACCCCGTAATGTCTTTGGAACAACTATGCACAATTCCAAAGTGACATCAACAATAATGCTGCAGGTCTTTAGTGATTGTTTTGGTAACAGTAAAAGTTACCAAGTTGCATTGTACACAATAATGTTTGCTACCATTTGTTTTATTAGTTTTTATGAATCAATCCACTTTGTACCATCATGCTCCTGGGTCAGAGTTCAGACTTGTGACATCATTGGAACATCCAGGGGGAGGGCCTAAATTTACACATGATCATCATTGCCCCAATCTCCGTCGTTGTGTCTATTAATAGACAAAGGGCTGTGGTGATGCCTCGAGGCATCCATAGTCCCTCAGAGAGTGTGAACATAGGATGTAAAACAACAAAGGAATCTGACCTGTACTGGCCATTACATCTGCAGACTCATGTGGTGTTGATGGAAAAGGTTAAGGAGGACAGTTTACTGCACTGTTAATTGTATCAGATCAGACATATCCAAGGTTCGGTCCACAAACCAATTGCGCTCTCTTTGGTTTTGTAATTCTGTATATATTTAGATATTGAGAAAGTAATAATTTTTCATTTAGCCAACTTCAAGCTGGGGTTAACCAGCTTTCAATCAACAAACAAATTAACTGGAATGATAAAATCATATAACTAGTCCCTCTCTTTCAAAACAGTTCGGTTTTATCTCTCCTTAGCATGTGTTGTTGGCTTCTGTCATCTAATCTGTAGATCAGGTGACATGCTGAGGTCCTTTTGATTGAGAATATATGATGCATAATAATGCATATGGCAACATCTAAGTAAAAACTGCCTTATGCTCGGGGACAACCTTGTGGCGTCCATGTGGAATGTCAAATTTCATTCATATAATTACATTTCAGTCCTGCTCAACTACCCCCAGACGTTTCCTGCTGCTTACCTACCGCTGCAGGCTCACACATGGGCTTACACCATAGACTGTACCTCTGCTCCACACACGTGCATGTGTCTTGAGGCCAAAAAGACTGTAAACAAAAACAGAGGCTTGAAGAATGAGGAGACAGCGCCCTCTGCTGACACCCCTCAGGCCTGAGCACCATATTATTATAGAACCAACGCCGAGCACGGACACATTTTGAAAATTAATTTAGGATAACCACAAAGGTCTCATTCGCATTAAACCGTAAAAGGTGCAATATGGACATAGGTGTGATGGGATTTAAAATAAACACGACTATATTGTGTCAACAAACCACAAACTCACTGCAAGAGTAGGTCCATGGATCTATAATAATAACGGAGAAGATCCATGGATCTATAATAATAACGGAGTAGATCCATGGATCTATAATAATAACGGAGAAGATCCATGGATCTATAATAATAACGGAGTAGATCCATGGCGAGAGTACTTTGCTTGTCCATGCGCACGCGCGATCGTACCCGGAAGTGGATCCCAGCACATGCAGCGTTTCAAAACAACCACCTTGAAAGTCTCAAACTGAAGATTGATGGTGTGGATCAAGTTATAGACACCGTCAGATATGCCTGTGAACAGATTATTGTAAGTAAAGCGCCTTTCATTCGTAAAGAACCTCATAGGCCACGTATATGTCAATGAGGAATGAGCTCTGTAGCGTAGCACACAAAGCTAACATCATGTTTTGGGGTTAAGCATGTTCAGGGATGTGCAGCAACTATTTATTTTATTGCGATTCATGCAGTCGAAACACGTTTTCGACTTGAAAATGAAGACGTCACTTCATATTATTGTGTTTTTTGAGCAATGTCATTTTGGAGATATTTGTCCAAGATTCAGCAACAATACAATCACATGGGGATGGGGGTCACAGGATGTTGTCGGGTCTTTATAACATCACACCCTCACCCAGGGTGTATGATATGTCCAAATGTGTATTACAGATGTTATCAAAGGTGCTCATTTCCTTTCATTATAACCACTGTCTGAATAAGGCCTTTCTTTGTCTCTTTTCAGGTACCCGCTCTATCAGCTGGGTAACCCACAGCTGAGAATCTTCAGACCCAACTGGTTTCTGACACTTGTACGACCAGGAAAAGAGCAACCAACAGATACTGTACAGTTCCGTGTTCCAATGGAGTAAGTTTCTTTTTTGTAATAACATTTATAGATGATCCAAATGTATTGATTTAGTGTGCTGTTAGAATGTTATAACATGGATAGTATTCATCCACTTTACATCAAGTTCTGTTTAGGAGAAAGATGGTTTCACGCAGAAGAGACGCAGCAGACACATCTATTGTCTACGATGACTCTCAAATATCACTATTAACAGTTGTAGAAGAAATGGTCATAGGGAAATGACATCATAGGGTCAATGCTTTCCTAGCATTGGGGGCCCCTTTTTTACCCCTATGCTGCTATAATCCTAGATAAATCATAGCGTCAAGGTGGATTATTTTTTTTCTCGAGTTACTCGAAACAATTTATCAATTTCCTAATAATCAAAAACGTTCTCATTTTGACTGAGTTTTGAGTGAAAGCCTGTGGCTTCACCAGTGCATGGCTCTCCGTTCCTGTGACTGTCGTCCACACCTAGGTCGTAGGTCAGCTCTGGTGCTGACTGAGCTGCATGATGGCATGTTTAAAACTTTTTTTCACTGTTTGCTCCGTTTCGAATAGCACAATAAATAGTGTCTTCTCCACCAGATTAAAGCTGGGGTACCTAACATTTTTGATTTGTTTCATAAAAACAACAATTTTTTTGCGAAAAAAATCAGCATGCTGTAATTGAAAATAAGTTATCTTTTACATATTGAGAGCTGATTGGTTGAGTGAGGGTGGTCTCTATTTACCTTTTCTGTCTCAAAAAGCTGATCTAAAAATGTGGCAGTCCAAAAATACATGTATGTGAAAATGATTGATGGAATCAAACAGTTTTTTAATCTGCTCTAAAGACATGACAGAGGCCAAACATACACAATGAGCCAGGACCTTATTCCTTTGTTCCATTTCTGGTGGTTTGAAAGTTAGGTACCCCAGCTTTAGTTTCTCCTGTCACAGCTTTCTGACCTTTGGCTTCCGCAACATAAACAATAATCCTACCCTTTTATTACTGCTGCCACTTCTTGCCGCGCGTGTCCTTGAACAGTCCCTTGTACATCAGTCTGTCCCAGCTGTCAATCATGTGGTCATCAGCGCCGCGTCCTCAGCGTCTGCGTCCTCTGTCGGCGTGGAGACGAGTCCAGTCCTGTCACTCATCACATACTGCCCCCAATGCGAGAGCCAGAGCTGGGTGTGTCCACTGCAGTGTGGGGCAGGCACGGTTATGGCTATTCCATCATAATGTAAAGTATTTTAGGGAACCTGTTTGCCTTGCCATCCTATAAGCAAAGGAAGGTTTCTCATCCATCATCTGTACTTCTTAGCAAGTTTTCCCGACGTTTCGTCCTCAACCTAGCGGACTTCTTCAGGGAATGAATTCTCGGGCCGCGCGTTGGAGATTTATAACCTATTACACCCTAATCCTAATACTAACTCATAAACAATCTAAGGTCTGCTTGATGCAGAAGGGAGCAGATCTATAGACCCTGCTGAGGCTTTCAGTGAACCAAAACCAGTGTTTGCTACTTTACACGTGTGGTTCCGTTGGCTCGTGTGGCTGTTATCAATCAGATTTGGCCAATAAAAGTCACAAAAGGTGCTACGCCGGCCAGTCGAGCGTGGAGCTTTTTTTCATTTGAAGCCGAGTGGAAAATATTCTGCAGAAGCTTGAAGTGCTTAAGGAATTGTTCTAAAAATAGGGTCCCCTTTCGTTTCCCCTTTAACTCCAGGCACCCCACTGTATCTCATGTAGTCTCCAACCTGTTTGACTCCTTATTTTTTTCCGTTTGGCTATTCGTCTGCACAATACAGCAACACACTGCAGAAAATGATAAGTAATGAGGTAATAATTGCTTGAATCGATTGTTTTTTTAATCTTAATTTGAGTACATTATGAACTGTAAGCTTTATTTTCTCATTCCAACAGAGACAGTTCTTGTATCTTTTTAAAACAAGATAATGTTGCTTGTCTCGTTGGAAAAAATCTTGTTCAAATGCAGTTACAATGCCTTCAAATTAAGATACATTAAGGCAATTTTTTTTTTTCATCACTTCTTGCAGTGCATTAGCAAGAGCTGCATGAATCAAATCACAAAGTATAGGACGTTTCTAACTAAAACATGACATTCAGCTGTTTATGTTGTGTTTTCTAGTCATTTTCAATTCCGTCAATGCTTTGAACTTAAAACTTAACCAGGCGTTATGGCATGTCATAATTACAGATAGAATGGACACTTGTTTTACTCAAAACAGACAACACATATGTTTTATGATACTGCGAGTCGCCAAGTTGGAAAGTGGTCGATTTTAGCCGTAACGTCTCGGAGGTCTGTTTTTCATTACGGCCGTCTGAGCTGTAAGAAAACAACTGATTGTATTCTGTGCAAGTGGCATGAAAGAGAACTGACCAAGTGACCTACAGGGAATGACATGTGTTCACTTCAAACTTGTGTGTGTTGCACTTTGTATACTTCTTTATCCATGGAGCGGTTCTTGCTTAGTATGGAGAGGCGTTCAAGTCGCCTATTTATTTCATTATACTAAAAACAGAAGAAAGTACTTTTGTTTTTATGTATCGCAATTCTCTATAGATTAGACTTTTGAAGACGATTCTGCGATGAATGTGGAAGCACGCTGCGCAAAACAGAGCATTCTGAAATCATCACTGAAGTATTATGTCGACTCTTCATGACAAGCTACAATCGAAACGCAATTCTTATACTCGCAATTATTTAAGTCTTTTCATCAAGAAATCTTGGATCACTACAGTATCTCAAAAGCATCTTACCTTACAGCACGCTGTAAGGTTTTTTAGGAAATTACAGGTTTATTGTTCATTTTGTCCATTTTATGAACATGTTGTTTCTCAGTTTGTTACCAAAGTGTAGTGGAGTCGTTCGAGCAAAATCACTGCAAAAAGTGATTAAAAACTTCTCAAATTTGGCAAAATGTATCTTAATTTTTAATGCCTTAAAACAAGATTTGCCAACGGGACAAAGCAAAGTAAGTAAGTAATCTTTATTTATATACTGCCTTCACAGACCAGAGGCACAAAGAGGTTTACAATTATGGGCATTAGTCTCTCACTCCACACAGAGACGGGAGCGGGGCCAGTACAGGAGGCGCATGCCAGAACTACTGTACATGTTTTTAGTGGAAGGGGAAACCGGAGTACCCGGAGGAAACCCACGCATACACGGAGAGAACATGCAAACTCCACTCAGAAAGGCCCTGGTCCGACCGGGATTCGAACCCAGGACCTTCAAAATGATCTTGTTTTTAAAAAATACAAGAAATGTCTCTCTTGGAATGAGAAAATAAAGCAACAGTTCTTGAAATAAGGCTAAATGGCTCTGTCCCGTTGGCAAATCTTGTTTAAAGACATAAGTCAGAATGTTCTCAAATCAAGACAAAATAAAACACTTGATTAATGCCTCATATCTGATCATTTTTTTGCAGTATTTTTTTTCTAAATTTGTCAAGGCGAAATTGCAACATTTTGAATGGAAACACACAGGTGGCGTACGGCTCTCCAGAATATGGGAAAAAATGTATCTGTAGTGAATAAGTGAATCTGTAGTGAATAAATTAATCTGTAGTGAATAAATTAATCTGTAGTGAATAAGAATAAGTTAATCTGTAGTGAATAAGTGAATCTGTAGTGAATAAGAATAAGTGAATCTGTAGTGAATAAGTGAATCTGTAGTGAATAAGAATAAGTGAATCTGTTGTGAATAAGTGAATCTGTTGTGAATAAGTGAATCTGTAGTGAATAAGTGAATCTGTTGCTTGGACATAGGATGGCCATGCTTCCTGAAGCTGCAGCAGCGTCACTGACCATAAAGATTAAATATGAGATATTTGAGAGATACACTTTCCGCCGCGTGTGCACTTTGACTGTTTGCAGCCAGCTGTACGGCACGTCATTCTTCGAGTCTCTCCGGTGTCTGGTGTACGCTACCCTATTCCCACTCTCTGCATTTACCCCCCCACCTCCTCCACTCGCCTCCAATATACAACTTACTTTTCTCTCTTTACATTAGGGCAGTTTGAGATGTTTTGAATTGCCTTGTTTTGGCTCATTTTAAATAATGCTTAAAACATGATGTGTGTTGTTTGATTGGCAACAAGAGAAGTAATAAAAGATAGATTTGTTGATAGTGACATTGTGATTTTAATACATTTAATTCGTTGTTTAAACATTATAAACAATTGCATATATTTACTTTGACATTTGGGTGTATATTTTAGGAGTTAAACTACATTGAAATGACAAAAAAATATGATTGGTCTGATTGTAAAATGTTTCTTTTTTCCCGGAACACCCGGAAGGTGCCCGGAACACCTTCCTGGGGAGGTGTTCCGGGCACGTCCCACCGGGAGGAGGCCCCGGGGAAGACCCAGGACACGCTGGAGAGACTATGTCTCTCAGCTGGCCTGGGAACGCCTTGGGGTCCCCCCGGACGAGCTGGAGGAGGTGTGTGTGGATAGGGAAGTCTGGGCGTCTCTGCTTAGACTGCTGCCCCCGCGACCCGGCAACGGATAAAGCGGAAGAAAATGGATGGATGGATGGATGATTGTAAAATGATCATGTTTTGTAGTTTTCATGATTATATAACATTGATCAACCAAATTACCTTGACTTGACATATTTTTTGAGGATGTAATCGTGTTCTTTTACAGTATGTGGCTCTCTGCCGCTAACATAAAGTAGCCATTTCATTTTGACAGTGTCATCCTGCCAACTTCAGCTCCACCAATATATGCTGTACCTCATTGTTAAAGCTCAGAACCTTTAACTGGGTTTTTTACATAATGACTTATGACTGCAAAAAACAGCATGAAAAATAAATCAGAAATAACTCAAAATCGGCAAGATACAAGATCCTTGGAATGAGAAAATAAAGCAACAGTTATTGAAATAACACTAAATGGCCTTGTCCCATTGGCAAATTGTGTTTTAGATAGTTAGAATGTACTCAAATGAAGATAAAAACCACTTGATTAACGCAATTATTAACTCAATATTTATCACTGTTTGCAGTGTGGCAGTATTGTAGCTGCGGTGTGATTCAATATTGACATATCATACCCAATTTTAAACCTCAGAACAGCCCAAATCCAGTCAAAACAGTTTTATAATCAACCCCTGGAAAAGTCTGGTTTACTAAACAGGAGCTCTTACTTAAGTCTAATTATTGCTTTATTTTTTATTACATGTGCTCTCAGATCGCCCAAATAGATAGATAATAGTAGATAATTGTTATCTGGGGCTTTCTTCCCAACTATCCAGGTCCAGTCTTAATGAATGCACTTCGGAGTTTAGTTGTGACCTAATACCTAGCGAGAGGCAGCTGAGGTGTTACCAGTATCTCTTTGACATTATCCATTGCGAATTCTCAAGCAGCAAGGACTTTCACTAAGCTTTAAGCAGTATTTAAAGGAAACGATTAAAGTGATTATAAAATGGTACATGGGTATCCTGTCCGCTCCTGGTACTGCCTTGTATAAGCTCATTGAAACCAGAGAGGGTGAAGAGCAAAGTGTGCCAAGATCTCAGGGTCTCAGACTGTCTGCCAGCCCTGAGAAAAAAAGTCTGTTCTGTTCATTGATTAGCTCCAAAATCCCAGATTGTATTTGAGCAACATCCTGGGGTCAGAGTCTGGAGTGACCTAGAAGTGATGGAGTTCTTGGTGCCCTGAATCACAACCAAAATCTACTATACATCCAGAGTACCCTGTTCGTTCCCACCTGCTCCAGAGAACACATCACCCCGTCCTCAAACAACTCCACTGGCACCCTGTCCAATACAACGTCCTCCTTCTTACCTACAAGTCCCTCCATTACTTTCCCCGTCATACCTCATCGACCTCTTCCATTATCGCTGTCCCACCCGCCGCCTCAGATCCACTAAACACCAAACCCTGGGGGACCAAGCCTTCGCCAAAGCTGCCCCCACTCTCTGGAACTCACTCCCACAACCCATGAAAAACTATTGACTCACCTCTTAACTTTTAATAACTTCTCAAAACCCACTTGTTTCACCTCTCCTCAATTTTGCTCTTTTATGTGTATTTTATAAAAAGCGTTTTTGTAAAGCGTCTTTTAGTGTTCAAAAAAGCGCTATATAAGTTTGATGTTGATGTTGATATTAATATTACGTGAGACAGAAGACACAAATCACTGCATCTGATAATAGTTTCACACACGTATTGAGGTTTTGATGTGGAAAGTGAGTTGACTGAAGATTAGATAGTACCTACAACTTATCCGACTTCAATGCGGCTGTATGTCATGGCAGCTGTAGTGGTTTCTCACCTCTCGGGCAGAGCAGTAGTAGCTGACACAGCGTGAACTTATCATGGGTCAGACTGAACCATGTCGCTGTGAATTATACTGGAGCTCATACTGTTTGATACATAAGACCAGACCAACCCTATTCAATTCATTGTGTTTTTGTACAGCCGTGAATCACACCAGTAGCTATCTCTGAGGACTTTACAAAACCGTTGATTCGCCAGCACAGATCAGAGAATAAAACAGTTCAAACACAAGAATGCAATAATTAATCAAAAAATACATAGAGCCATTATTAGTCTAAAAGAGGCGGATGAGCAATGTCCATAAATGTTGATAAAGTCCATACATTTTGTTGAATGTCAAGTGTCCTGGATCATCACCACTGCCCATAGACCTCCCTGCATCAGCAAGGAAAACTTTATAAACCCAGTGGGAGACAATGAGAAACCCCGGGGAGGCCCACATTGAGGGAGGGATCTGCTCCCACTGACGGACGGGCTATAGATACAAAACTCAGGCTCTAAAACGAGGACACACAATTCTACAATGTTACAATTCTCTGTGAGACTTTGATTATTTGTTCTCTAATTTGAGCGCTCTGATTGTTTTGGTGCAGGTGTGGCCCTGCTGGTGTCTCCTGAGGTTCCCTTACAGCTGGGCCTGGACAGCGGGGAGCAGATCTGCCTCCAGTCACTGCCTAGTATGGAGCGAGTGGCTCTTCAGTACACCGTGTGTGTGGGCCACAATGTGAAGGCCGCTCATCTGGAGGCAATGCAACAACTGTCCCTTCCCAGCAGGGAGCTACCCAACCTGAAAACCATGCTGTGAGTCTGATGAGAACAAATACATTTTACTTTAGCTAGCTTCTAAGTGCATTTTTTGCATTTCTAAGTGCATTTATTGCACAATTCCATCCTTCATTATTGATCAGTAAATACAGCAATTTCACAGAGCCCCAATGCTTTTCTCTGTGGTTCTGGAGCTTATTGAATCAAGTAAATATTTCAGTGTCTCATAGTGTGTGTTAAAAGCCGGTCTATTGTCCAGGCTGCCGTTTTGGAAGCTGCTGACACCTGTAGACTCAGGGCCGAAGGTGGAGAGAGAGCTGAGGATCTTCTCCAACCGTCTGAAGAGGCACCAGCTGGGGGAGGCCGTCATCAGCCTCAATGAACATTCCACCACCCTCCTTTATGACCTGGTACGCACACGTTTGAGTGTTGGTCTGAGGTAGAGCTGGTCAAGGACATTCAATTAAAACCCCTTTTTTAAATGAATCAACTGCTGCTTTTTCAGGTTTTATTTTGATCTAAAGTTATCCAGGCTAGTTTGAAGTTAAGCTGTCATTTAAAATTAGGAATTAGTCTTTTGTTGCACTTTCAAGCCTTTAATGGCCCCATAGAAACTACTGGTTGTAAAGTCATGAAGTGCATTACGTTTTCTGATAATTATATAATAGTGACATGGGGGTCAACAATGACATAACAAGCTAATCTGTACATTTTCCCACCAGTGCCCTGACCTGCGCAGGTCAAACCTTGTGTTCTTAAGAGGTTTTGTTCCTTTGTTGTGGAATCTGAAGTCTCACTTTGCCGTCACTGGGAGGATTATTATATTTGGACAAATGGGTCTAGCTGGGTCTTTCTATCACAACTTTACAGTGTGTTATTTTAGACGGCCTATATATAATAATTGGCCGTGTGGTTTATGGGCCTGTTAAGTGCAGTAAACTGTCCTTATGCAGTATTTGACATGTCTGAATATACTGCGTGTGTGCAGGACCATGACTACCTCAGCAGCAGGAGAAGGGGGATGTCTAAGCGACTGACCAGGGACTTCCCACTTGTCAAGCTTCTTAACATTTCCATCACCCTGTCCCCTTTCCTGGGCGTGGATTCCACGCAATTCCACTCTTCTCTCGTTGATGGTACAGAAACTTACTGGCTCAGTGTACCCTCCAATCCTCAAGGACACATGGTGAGATAAATGCTCATTTTCTTTTTCAATTCAAATAAACAATTCAGAGACATTTTTCCTCTTTCATCTTTGGCTGCCTGTTTCACTGCTGCAGGAGCAGAGGTTTACAAACAGCAGACCTTTGAGCAAATGTTATTTTCAATCTGATTCATGTCAATAGCTGATTATGAGCCACTTACATTTACTTTCCACCAATAGACCATTGGGAATTGAAACACAAATTCGTCTGCGAGGAGAATGTCACTGTGACCTTTCTGTCCTTCAGGTGCCCATTCTCAGTCAGTGGCAGGAGAAGTTTTGTGTGAAGCTGAACCTCACTAATCCATCCGCGGTCAGCTGGTTCCTGGACAGGGTGGGCTCTCTTCAGGCTCGTCTGGGGGTGGAGTACATGGTGCTGGAGGGGGCAGAGGGGAGTGCTCTCGAGGAGCAGGCCCTGCGGACACAGTCCCTGTCAGGGGACAGATATATCAGCCTCCTGGCAGACCTGGCCTCCAGAATAGAGAACACCATTGTGACAGCAGGGACACAGTAAGCTAACACAACCTTACAGCTCGTTATAACAGAGAAGCATGTATTTCACTGTATGTTGTACTTGGTGCCGGACAGGTCAAGCCACAAGCCTCTGTTTGTCAGGATGACCCCCCTGCAGTCCGACTGGAGCGGTATGGGGCTGAAGGGCATTATTCCCTCCTTGCTGCACCATGCTCTAATGGGATATAACTTCCTCATTCCTGATGCAGTAGGTAATACTGCAGCCAATGACACAGCTGTAAAAATGTTTCATTTAAAAGACTTGCATGTTATTGATTTACAAGTCTGTTCATAGAAGCAAGTCTGGTATTTGGTCTACTCAGAGTTTGATCTGAAGTTCATGTGAAAGTCTGTTGTGCTTTTCATTCAAGTTGACACAATGATGACTGTTATTAATGCTGCAACATGTATTGTGTGCTTTTGGTGCAGGCGGCTCTCTGTCTGAAGACCTGGTTACAGATGAGGAATTGTTCATCCGCTGGTTGGAAATCGTAGCTTTTCTCCCAGTTATCAGCTTCCACACCCCGCCGTGGATCTGCGGGGAGGACCGGGTAGGCCTCTGCACACTACACCATGTGCACATTAGCAGCGAGACATGGTAGAGCTAGTTTGTTGACGCAGAAGCTTGTCCGCAGCTCTGCAGGTGAGTAACGCAACTCTCCTCGATGTCACTGAGCTGTTTGCACAAAGACTGCCCAGGCTCAGAGAGGACTTTCCCCTCAGCAGGAGAGCTCGTCCGCAAATAACATCATCCACAATCTCACAAAGGCAATAGGCAAGGCAAGGCAAGGCAAGTTTATTTATATAGCACAATTCATACACAAGGCAATTCAAAGTGCTGAACAAAACAAGAAAGCATTAAAATCATAAATTATCACAGAACATTAAAAAGAAAGATAAAAATATAAAATCCCTCAGTTGTATGCACAGTTAAACAGAACCGTCTTTAACCTGGTTTTAAACAATGTCAGAGAGGAGGCCTGTCTCACATCTTCAGGAAGACTGTTCCAGATTTTAGCAGCATTAATCTGAAAAGCAGCCTCCCCATGTTTAGTTCTGACTCTGGGCACTAACAGGAGTCCAGTCCCTGTGCTCCTCAGAGTCCGGGCTGGTTCATATGGGACTAACATGTCACTAATATATTTTGGTGCGAGGCTATGGAGAGACTTGTACACAAGCAGAGCTGTTTTAAAGTCTATTCTCTGAGCCACAGGAAGCCAGTGCAGAGACCTGAGAACTGGACTAATGTGGTCGTACTTCCTGGTTCTAGTCAGGACTCGAGCTGCTGCATTTTGAATGTACTGCAGCTGTTTTACAGCCTGTTTGGACAGACCTGTGAGCAGGCCATTGCAGTAGTCTAACCTACTGGAGACAAATGCATGGATAAGAATCTCCAAGTCTGCTTTAGACACTATGTTTTTGATCCTGGCAATGTTTTTTAGATGGTAAAAAGCTGCTGATGTTACTGATTTGATGTGGCTATTAAAATTTAAGTCTGAGTCCAGTATTACCCCTAGATTTCTGACCTTGTTTGAAGGTTTTAGGGAGAGAGACTGTAGGTGACAGATGACGCTCTCTCTTTGTTTCTGGGGACCAAAGACAATCATTTCAGTTTTGTCTGCGTTTAGCTGAAGGAAGTTGTTTTGCATCCACTCACTGATCTGTTGGATACAGTGAAGGAGTGAGTCCACTGGTCCATGTTCTCCTGCAGTCAGTGAGACATAGATCTGAGTGTCGTCTGCATAGTTATGATAGGACACTTTGTTTCTGCGTATTAACTGACCTAACGGCAGCATGTAGAGATTGAACAGAAGAGGTCCCAGGATCGACCCCTGTGGGACTCCACAGGTCAGGGCCATATGATCTGAGACACAGTTTCCAATCTCCACAAAGTACTTCCTGTCTTCAAGGTAAGACCTAAACCAACTTAGGGCGGTGCCAGTGACGCCAACCCAGTCCTCTAGTCTCTGTAAGAGGATCTCATGGTCGACGGTGTCAAAGGCAGCACTTAGATCTAACAAGATTAAGATTGAGACTTTGCCTGCGTCAGTGTTCAGCCGGATATCGTTTGTAACCTTAACGAGAGCAGTCTCAGTGCTGTGGTGGGGTCTAAAGCCGGACTGAAACATATCAAATGAGTTGTTGATTATAAGAAATCTAGTAAGCTGTAGGTAGACAACTTTCTCAAGGACTTTCCCCATAAATGGCAGATTTGAGATGGGACGATAGTTGTTAAGTACCGTAGCATCGAGACTGCTCTTTTTTAGCAGGGGCCTGATGACTGCAGTTTTCAGGGCCTTTGGGAATATTCCAGAATGAAGGGACATGTTTACTATCTGTGTGAGTGAAGGTAACAGACTGCTCAGAACAGACTTCAGAAATCTAGTGGGTAGTACATCCAGGCTGCATGTGGAGGAGCTCAAACTGGAGATTATCTCTTGGACAGTTTTATCATTTACAGGTGCAAAGTGAGTTAGCTCAAAGAGCCTTTCTGGCTGTTGGACTGTGGCTCTAACCTGTTATCTGTGGATTGGAGACTGGCGCTTTTGATGCCTTGAACCTGTCATGAAATGGTTTCTCCCATGTAGGCATGGTTTAACCTGGCTCTGTGATGGTTTCTCCCATGTAGGCATGGCTCTAACCTGGCTCTGTGATGGTTTCTCCCATGTAGGCGTGGCTCTAACCTGGCTCTGTGATGCAGTTTCTCCCATGTAGGCGTGGCTCTAACCTGGCTCTGTGAAAATGGTTTCTCCCATGTAGGCGTGGCTCTAACCTGGCTCTGTGATGGTTTCTCCCATGTAGGCGTGGCTCTAACCTGGCTCTGTGTTGGTTTCTCCCATGTAGGCGTGGCTCTAACCTGGCTCTGTGGTGGTTTCTCCGTTGTAGGCGTGGCTCTAACCTGGCTCTGTGTTGGTTTCTCCGTTGTAGGCGTGGCTCTAACCTGGCTCTGTGGTGGTTTCTCCGTTGTAGGCGTGGCTCTAACCTGGCTCTGTGGTGGTTTCTCCCATGTAGGCGTGGCTCTAACCTGGCTCTGTGGTGGTTTCTCCCATGTAGGCGTGGCTCTAACCTGGCTCTGTGTTGGTTTCTCCGTTGTAGGCGTGGCTCTAACCTGGCTCTGTGTTGGTTTCTCCCATGTAGGCGTGGCTCTAACCTGGCTCTGTGTTGGTTTCTCCCATGTAGGCGTGGCTCTAACCTGGCTCTGTGTTGGTTTCTCCCATGTAGGCGTGGCTCTAACCTGGCTCTGTGTTGGTTTCTCCCATGTAGGCGTGGCTCTAACCTGGCTCTGTGATGGTTTCTCCCATGTAGGCGTGGCTCTAACCTGACTCTGTGATGGTTTCTCCCATGTAGGCGTGGTTCTAACCTGGCTCTGTGATGGTTTCTCCCATGTAGGCGTGGCTCTAACCTGGCTCTGTGATGGTTTCTCCCATGTAGGTGTGGCTCTAACCTGGCTCTGTGATGGTTTCTCCCATGTAAGCGTGGTTCTAACCTGGCTCTGTGATGGTTTCTCCCATGTAGGTGTGGCTCTAACCTGGCTCTGTGATGGTTTCTCCCATGTAGGCGTGGCTCTAACCTGGCTCTGTGATGGTTTCTCCCATGTAGGCGTGGCTCTAACCTGGCTCTGTGATGGTTTCTCCGTTGTAGGCGTGGCTCTAACCTGGCTCTGTGATGGTTTCTCCGTTGTAGGCGTGGCTCTAACCTGGCTCTGTGATGTTTTCTCCCATGTAGGCGTGGCTCTAACCTGGCTCTGTGATGGTTTCTCCCATGTAGGCGTGGCTCTAACCTGGCTCTGTGTTGGTTTCTCCCATGTAGGCGTGGCTCTAACCTGGCTCTGTGATGGTTTCTCTGTTGTAGGCGTGGCTCTAACCTGGCTCTGTGTTGGTTTCTCTGTTGTAGGCGTGGCTCTAACCTGGCTCTGTGTTGGTTTCTCTGTTGTAGGCGTGGTTCTAACCTGGCTCTGTGATGGTTTCTCCGTTGTAGGCGTGGCTCTAACCTGGCTCTGTGGTGGTTTCTCTGTTGTAGGCGTGGCTCTAACCTGGCTCTGTGATGGTTTCTCTGTTGTAGGCGTGGTTCTAACCTGGCTCTGTGTTGGTTTCTCCGTTGTAGGCGAGGCTCTAACCTGGCTCTGTGGTGGTTTCTCCGTTGTAGGCGTGGCTCTAACCTGGCTCTGTGTTGGTTTCTCCGTTGTAGGTGTGGCTCTAACCTGGCTCTGTGTTGGTTTCTCCGTTATAGGTGTGGCTCTAACCTGGCTCTGTGGTGGTTTCTTCGTTGTAGGCGTGGCTCTAACCTGGCTCTGTGTTGGTTTCTCCGTTGTAGGTGTGGCTCTAACCTGGCTCTGTGTTGGTTTCTCCCATGTAGGCGTGGCTCTAACCTGGCTCTGTGGTGGTTTCTCCGTTGTAGGCGTGGCTCTAACCTGGCTCTGTGTTGGTTTCTCCGTTGTAGGCGTGGCTCTAACCTGGCTCTGTGATGGTTTCTCCCATGTAGGCGTGGCTCTAACCTGGCTCTGTGATGGTTTCTCCCATGTAGGCGTGGCTCTAACCTGGCTCTGTGTTGGTTTCTCCCGTGTAGGCGTGGCTCTAACCTGGCTCTGTGTTGGTTTCTCCCGTGTAGGCGTGGCTCTAACCTGGCTCTGTGGTGGTTTCTCCGTTGTAGGCGTGGCTCTAACCTGGCTCTGTGTTGGTTTCTCCCGTGTAGGCGTGGCTCTAACCTGGCTCTGTGTTGGTTTCTCCCGTGTAGGCGTGGCTCTAACCTGGCTCTGTGGTGGTTTCTCCGTTGTAGGCGTGGCTCTAACCTGGCTCTGTGGTGGTTTCTCCGTTGTAGGCGTGGCTCTAACCTGGCTCTGTGTTGGTTTCTCCGTTGTAGGCGTGGCTCTAACCTGGCTCTGTGGTGGTTTCTCTGTTGTAGGCGTGGCTCTAACCTGGCTCTGTGTTGGTTTCTCCGTTGTAGGCGTGGCTCTAACCTGGCTCTGTGATGGTTTCTCCGTTGTAAGCGTGGCTCTAACCTGGCTCTGTGTTGGTTTCTCCGTTGTAGGCGTGGCTCTAACCTGGCTCTGTGTTGGTTTCTCCCATGTAGGCGTGGCTCTAACCTGGCTCTGTGGTGGTTTCTCCGTTGTAGGCGTGGCTCTAACCTGGCTCTGTGTTGGTTTCTCCCATGTAGGCGTGGCTCTAACCTGGCTCTGTGTTGGTTTCTCCCATGTAGGCGTGGCTCTAACCTGGCACTGTGGTTGTTTCTCCCATGTAGGCGTGGCTCTAACCTGGCACTGTGATGGTTTCTCCCATGTAGGTGTGGCTCTAACCTGGCTCTGTGTTGGTTTCTCCCATGTAGGCGTGGCTCTAACCTGGCTCTGTGTTGGTTTCTCCGTTGTAGGCGTGGCTCTAACCTGGCTCTGTGTTGGTTTCTCCCATGTAGGCGTGGCTCTAACCTGGCTCTGTGTTGGTTTCTCCGTTGTAGGCGTGGCTCTAACCTGGCTCTGTGATGGTTGCTCCCATGTAGGCGTGGCTCTAACCTGGCTCTGTGATGGTTTCTCCGTTGTAGGCGTGGCTCTAACCTGGCTCTGTGTTGGTTTCTCCGTTGTAGGCGTGGCTCTAACCTGGCTCTGTGTTGGTTTCTCCCATGTAGGCGTGGCTCTAACCTGGCTCTGTGTTGGTTTCTCCCATGTAGGCGTGGCTCTAACCTGGCTCTGTGTTGGTTTCTCCCATGTAGGCGTGGCTCTAACCTGGCTCTGTGATGGTTTCTCCCATGTAGGCGTGGCTCTAACCTGGCTCTGTGTTGGTTTCTCCCATGTAGGCGTGGCTCTAACCTGGCTCTGTGATGGTTTCTCCCATGTAGGCGTGGTTCTAACCTGGCTCTGTGATGGTTTCTCCCATGTAGGCGTGGCTCTAACCTGGCTCTGTGTTGGTTTCTCCCATGTAGGCGTGGCTCTAACCTGGCTCTGTGTTGGTTTCTCCCATGTAGGCGTGGTTCTAACCTGGCTCTGTGATGGTTTCTCCCATGTAGGCGTGGCTCTAACCTGGCTCTGTGATGGTTTCTCCCATGTAGGCGTGGCTCTAACCTGGCTCTGTGTTGGTTTCTCCCATGTAGGCGTGGCTCTAACCTGGCTCTGTGATGGTTTCTCCCATGTAGGCATGGTTCTAACCTGGCTCTGTGATGGTTTCTCCCATGTAGGCGTGGCTCTAACCTGGCTCTGTGATGGTTTCTCCCATGTAGGCATGGTTCTAACCTGGCTCTGTGATGGTTTCTCCCATGTAGGCGTGGCTCTAACCTGGCTCTGTGTTGGTTTCTCCCATGTAGGCGTGGCTCTAACCTGGCTCTGTGATGGTTTCTCCCATGTAGGCGTGGTTCTAACCTGGCTCTGTGATGGTTTCTCCCATGTAGGTGTGGCTCTAACCTGGCTCTGTGATGGTTTCTCCCATGTAGGCGTGGTTCTAACCTGGCTCTGTGATGGTTTCTCCCATGTAGGTGTGGCTCTAACCTGGCTCTGTGATGGTTTCTCCCATGTAGGCGTGGTTCTAACCTGGCTCTGTGATGGTTTCTCCCATGTAGGCATGGTTCTAACCTGGCTCTGTGATGGTTTCTCCCATGTAGGCGTGGCTCTAACCTGGCTCTGTGATGGTTTCTCCCATGTAGGCGTGGCTCTAACCTGGCTCTGTGATGGTTTCTCCCATGTAGGCGTGGCTCTAACCTGGCTCTGTGATGGTTTCTCCCATGTAGGCGTGGCTCTAACCTGGCTCTGTGATGGTTTCTCCCATGTAGGCGTGGCTCTAACCTGGCTCTGTGATGGTTTCTCCCATGTAGGCATGGTTCTAACCTGGCTCTGTGATGGTTTCTCCCATGTAGGCGTGGCTCTAACCTGGCTCTGTGTTGGTTTCTCCCATGTAGGCGTGGCTCTAACCTGGCTCTGTGATGGTTTCTCCCATGTAGGCGTGGTTCTAACCTGGCTCTGTGATGGTTTCTCCCATGTAGGTGTGGCTCTAACCTGGCTCTGTGATGGTTTCTCCCATGTAGGCGTGGTTCTAACCTGGCTCTGTGATGGTTTCTCCCATGTAGGCGTGGCTCTAACCTGGCTCTGTGATGGTTTCTCCCATGTAGGCGTGGTTCTAACCTGGCTCTGTGATGGTTTCTCCCATGTAGGCGTGGCTCTAACCTGGCTCTGTGTTGGTTTCTCCCATGTAGGCGTGGCTCTAACCTGGCTCTGTGATGGTTTCTCCCATGTAGGCGTGGCTCTAACCTGGCTCTGTGATGGTTTCTCCCATGTAGGCATGGTTCTAACCTGGCTCTGTGATGGTTTCTCCCATGTAGGCGTGGCTCTAACCTGGCTCTGTGATGGTTTCTCCCATGTAGGCGTGGCTCTAACCTGGCTCTGTGATGGTTTCTCCCATGTAGGCGTGGCTCTAACCTGGCTCTGTGATGGTTTCTCCCATGTAGGCATGGTTCTAACCTGGCTCTGTGATGGTTTCTCCCATGTAGGCGTGGCTCTAACCTGGCTCTGTGTTGGTTTCTCCCATGTAGGCGTGGCTCTAACCTGGCTCTGTGATGGTTTCTCCCATGTAGGTGTGGCTCTAACCTGGCTCTGTGATGGTTTCTCCCATGTAGGCGTGGTTCTAACCTGGCTCTGTGATGGTTTCTCCCATGTAGGCATGGTTCTAACCTGGCTCTGTGATGGTTTCTCCCATGTAGGCGTGGCTCTAACCTGGCTCTGTGATGGTTTCTCCCATGTAGGCGTGGCTCTAACCTGGCTCTGTGATGGTTTCTCCCATGTAGGCGTGGCTCTAACCTGGCTCTGTGATGGTTTCTCCCATGTAGGCGTGGCTCTAACCTGGCTCTGTGATGGTTTCTCCCATGTAGGCGTGGCTCTAACCTGGCTCTGTGATGGTTTCTCCCATGTAGGCATGGTTCTAACCTGGCTCTGTGATGGTTTCTCCCATGTAGGCGTGGCTCTAACCTGGCTCTGTGTTGGTTTCTCCCCATGTAGGCGTGGCTCTAACCTGGCTCTGTGATGGTTTCTCCCATGTAGGCGTGGTTCTAACCTGGCTCTGTGATGGTTTCTCCCATGTAGGTGTGGCTCTAACCTGGCTCTGTGATGGTTTCTCCCATGTAGGCGTGGTTCTAACCTGGCTCTGTGATGGTTTCTCCCATGTAGGCGTGGCTCTAACCTGGCTCTGTGATGGTTTCTCCCATGTAGGCGTGGTTCTAACCTGGCTCTGTGATGGTTTCTCCCATGTAGGCGTGGCTCTAACCTGGCTCTGTGTTGGTTTCTCCCATGTAGGCGTGGCTCTAACCTGGCTCTGTGATGGTTTCTCCCATGTAGGCGTGGCTCTAACCTGGCTCTGTGATGGTTTCTCCCATGTAGGCATGGTTCTAACCTGGCTCTGTGATGGTTTCTCCCATGTAGGCGTGGCTCTAACCTGGCTCTGTGATGGTTTCTCCCATGTAGGCGTGGCTCTAACCTGGCTCTGTGATGGTTTCTCCCATGTAGGCGTGGCTCTAACCTGGCTCTGTGATGGTTTCTCCCATGTAGGCATGGTTCTAACCTGGCTCTGTGATGGTTTCTCCCATGTAGGCGTGGCTCTAACCTGGCTCTGTGTTGGTTTCTCCCATGTAGGCGTGGCTCTAACCTGGCTCTGTGATGGTTTCTCCCATGTAGGCGTGGTTCTAACCTGGCTCTGTGATGGTTTCTCCCATGTAGGTGTGGCTCTAACCTGGCTCTGTGATGGTTTCTCCCATGTAGGCGTGGTTCTAACCTGGCTCTGTGATGGTTTCTCCCATGTAGGTGTGGCTCTAACCTGGCTCTGTGATGGTTTCTCCCATGTAGGCGTGGTTCTAACCTGGCTCTGTGATGGTTTCTCCCATGTAGGCGTGGCTCTAACCTGGCTCTGTGATGGTTTCTCCCATGTAGGCGTGGCTCTAACCTGGCTCTGTGATGGTTTCTCCCATGTAGGCGTGGCTCTAACCTGGCTCTGTGATGGTTTCTCCCATGTAGGCGTGGCTCTAACCTGGCTCTGTGATGGTTTCTCCGTTGTAGGCGTGGCTCTAACCTGGCTCTGTGATGGTTTCTCCCATGTAGGCGTGGCTCTAACCTGGCTCTGTGATGGTTTCTCCCATGTAGGCATGGTTCTAACCTGGCTCTGTGATGGTTTCTCCCATGTAGGCGTGGCTCTAACCTGGCTCTGTGATGGTTTCTCCCATGTAGGCGTGGCTCTAACCTGGCTCTGTGATGGTTTCTCCCATGTAGGCGTGGCTCTAACCTGGCTCTGTGATGGTTTCTCCCATGTAGGCGTGGCTCTAACCTGGCTCTGTGATGGTTTCTCCCATGTAGGCGTGGCTCTAACCTGGCTCTGTGATGGTTTCTCCGTTGTAGGCGTGGCTCTAACCTGGCTCTGTGATGGTTTCTCCCATGTAGGCGTGGCTCTAACCTGGCTCTGTGATGGTTTCTCCCATGTAGGCATGGTTCTAACCTGGCTCTGTGATGGTTTCTCCCATGTAGGCGTGGCTCTAACCTGGCTCTGTGATGGTTTCTCCCATGTAGGCGTGGCTCTAACCTGGCTCTGTGATGGTTTCTCCCATGTAGGCGTGGCTCTAACCTGGCTCTGTGATGGTTTCTCCCATGTAGGCATGGTTCTAACCTGGCTCTGTGATGGTTTCTCCCATGTAGGCGTGGCTCTAACCTGGCTCTGTGTTGGTTTCTCCCATGTAGGCGTGGCTCTAACCTGGCTCTGTGATGGTTTCTCCCATGTAGGCGTGGTTCTAACCTGGCTCTGTGATGGTTTCTCCCATGTAGGTGTGGCTCTAACCTGGCTCTGTGATGGTTTCTCCCATGTAGGCGTGGTTCTAACCTGGCTCTGTGATGGTTTCTCCCATGTAGGTGTGGCTCTAACCTGGCTCTGTGATGGTTTCTCCCATGTAGGCGTGGCTCTAACCTGGCTCTGTGATGGTTTCTCCCATGTAGGCGTGGCTCTAACCTGGCTCTGTGATGGTTTCTCCCATGTAGGCGTGGCTCTAACCTGGCTCTCCTGCTGGACGTGTCTGGCCTGGACGCAGAGCCCTTGTGCACGGTCTCCACTCCCAAAGAGGTGTGGCTTCAGCTTCTGCACACCTCCTCTCGCCGCCTGTCGTCCGTGGAGCTACGGGAAGCAGCGAGGGACACTTCAGGGCTGCAGCAGGAGTACCAGGTGAGCTTCTGTACACGGGCGACATCTGTAAAACGGTTATAGGTTTCCCGTCTCTGTTATTTGTCTGAAAAGTTTACATTTATGCTAATCTTGTTTGTTTTTGATCAGAAAATCCCTCCAAATTTTGTCAGCTCGATGGAGTTGAATGTTCCTGGACACATGATGAAAGACCGCTACAAAACCATTCTGCCCAGTGAGTATTATTAAATACAATGTTGAGGAATTTTATAAATACTTTGAAAAACTGTAATTAAAGATGCAGTCAATGATTTATCCAGATGCAATGTTTAAAATCCTGTCAGCGCACGTCATTTTGGACATTTTTGAGTCGAGACCCGCCCCCACTGCTCTGGAAGCAGCCGGGGCTCTGTAATGCTACCTCCCTAGTCCAGTTTTGCTAAATGCTAGTTTGTCAGGTGAAGCTAGCATCAGGTATAGCAGGCTAATCACTCACAGACTTGAGCCTAATGTAGTTTAGTTCTTTCACATTTCAAGCTGAGGCTTCGTCACAGAATGTGTTATTACAGAAACACGTCCATGTGCTGGGGCTGGGTTTGGACTCGGTGCTACTCGGATGCTAATGCTAAGCTAACCTGAATCCTTTACTGCACCTGTAAATGCAATAAAATTATACTACTTAGTTACACTTTGTCTTATTAATTCTGTCTAAATGATGAGGCATTTGTGTTCTGTTTACATAGTGGTGAACAATAAAACGATCATTAAAATGGTTTACGTAAGTAAACCTATAATCAGTTCTTCATGTTTGAGCAGTGATGAAAACCTGTTCTGCTCCTGTTCAGACCCAGAGACTCGGGTGGTTCTGAAGAGTCCAGAGGAAGACCCAGGTCCAGACAGATACATCAATGCCAACTACATCCGGGTCAGTAGAGCATAAAGCAGTTTTGCAGATAGTATTTTAATGATTTACAAATTCTTGTGTTTCATTAAACTGGCCAGTAGGGGGCGCATGAGCAGAGATGGGACAGTTTTGCTCCCATTGAAAACCATGTAATCAATCAATCAATCAATCAATCACTTTATTTATCCCCGAGGGGCAATTAAAAAGCACGGAGAGTTGCAAGTTAAATGCTTAAAAACATCAATACAAAACACATAAATACATTCACACACACATCCTGTATAAGTTCATGTTAGGAGCGTTTTAACACTGCGCTGGGGAATGACTGGTCTGAGTTCAGCAGCTGAATCACTGTTGGAACAAAAGTGGACCTTCTCCTCTGTGTCCTACATCCCACCGAGCGCAGCCTCCTCCCTGAAGGCAGCCACTCAAACACAGGGAAGAGAACATGAGCAGGGTCACCCAGAATCCTACAGGCCACTCTCATGGCCTGCTGATCACACAGGGCAGGAAGGGATCTGATTGGCAGGCCAATGATCTTAGAGCAGACATTTGCTACTCTGTTTAACTGAGCCCTGCTTTGTGCAGTGACAGAGTAAAACCAGCAAACACATGAAAAAGAAAGAACACTCTCAATAAAGGCATGGTAGAAGGTCATCATGATGTTTGGACTGACATCAAACTCCCTTAATTTCCTTAAAAGATATTGCCTCTGATGGCATTTTTTTAGGAGCTCCTCAGTGTTACTGGAGAATTTGAGCATGTCATCAAAGATGGTCCCTAGATATTTATACTCATGAACCACCTCTACACGCTCTCCCCTGATAGCAGAAGATTCAGCCTCTGCAAGCTGTCTCTGCTTGTTAGAAAAGGTCACAATCATGTCCTTAGTTTTACTAATATTGAGCTCTAAGTGGGAGTCATCGCACCATGAGATGAACTCCTGTAGAGCAGGACCATGACCCAGAGAGGGAGCAGACAGTAAGGACAGGAGAACCGTGTCATCAGCAAACTTAACCAAATAACAGTTTGGCTGAGTTGACCTACAATTGTCCGTATAAAGGATGAACAGAAGGGGTGATAAGACACATCCCTGTGGAGAGCCAGTGGATGTAAAGTCTGTTTTGGAGTCAAAGGCTCTCCTCCTGTGCGGTGTACGGTTGTTGGAACAGTCTTAATCGGGGACACTCAATTCTAAGGGAGGACTAACAAACATTTCTCAAAAGAGTCTTTATTTCGGGCATTTTTGGAAAATAAACAGAAGAAATGTCTGCGTTTCATTGGGGTGGCCTGCAGGGGGCGCTTATCTGGGAAAGCCTTGATCCACCTCCGCCTCATTCCAGTGATGTTTTCAAAGTGTCCTCCTTTATATGAGACCACAGTTGGAACATGAACAAACTCTGGTCTTTCTCTCTATTTGGCGGCACGGTGGCTGAGTGGATAGCACTCTCGCCTCTCAGCAAGAAGGTCCTGGGTTCGAATCCCGGTCGGAACAGGGCCTTTCTGAGTGGAGTTTGCATGTTCTCCCCGTGTCTGCGTAGGTTTCCTCTGGGTACTCCGGTTTCCCCTACCACTAAAAACATGTACAATAGTTCTGGCATGTGCCTCCTGTACTGGCCCCGCTCCCATCTCTGTGTGGAGTGAGAGACAAATGCCCAAAAATAACAATTGTAAACCGCTTTGAGACTCAGATCTGCAGTGAAAAGGCGGTATATAAATAAAGATTACTACTACTACTATATCTCCGTGTATAAACCACTTCTTCTTCTACTATATCTCTGTGTATAAACCACTTCTTCTTCTACTATATCTCCGTGTATAAACCACTTCTTCTTCTACTATATCTCTGTGTATAAACCACTTCTTCTTCTACTATATCTCCGTGTATAAACCACTTCTTCTTCTACTATATCTCTGTGTATAAACCACTTCTTCTTCTACTATATCTCCGTGTATAAACCACTTCTTCTTCTACTATATCTCCGTGTATAAACCACTTCTTCTTCTACTATATCTCCGTGTATAAACCACTTCTTCTTCTACTATATCTCCGTGTATAAACCACTTCTTCTTCTACTATATCTCCGTGTATAAACCACTTCTTCTTCTACTATATCTCCGTGTATAAACCACTTCTTCTTCTACTATATCTCCGTGTATAAACCCCTTCTTCTTCTACTATATCTCCGTGTATAAACCCGGCAGACTGCAGCGCCAGGATACGTCACGTCCTGTCCTACGTTTGTTATTCGCGCCACTGCCCTGACGTCATGAAACCCAAGAATATACATTTGATTTGTGTATTTTTGAACTATTTATTTATTATTGCCATTCTTATGACCACAAATGTCCTCGTTGATGTTACTGTAGTTACTGTCGTCCCGAGGCAAGAGGTAAAACGGCAGAAAAAACATTGCTAATATTTTAAAATACCAAACTTTTTAGTAAGGGGGCCACTTTGGGTTATCTGGGTCAAGAATGTTCAGAGCTTTAAGATTAGGTGTAAAATGGTTATTGTTTCATATTTGACAGAGATGAAGTTGGCTGAATGACAAAGGTTTAATCACCATACAATACAAAATAAATGTTAGTTTAGTCCAAAAGTCAAAAAAAGAAAAGAAAGAGAATGTCGGGTTAGCAAGGCAGAGGGCCGTATAAAATGACACAGAGGGCCGCAATTGGCCCCTGGGCCTGAGTTTGGACATGTCTGTAATATACAAAAAAACCAATGATTTTTAAATGTAAATGTGAAGATGTTTTAGGTCTTTAAGTCTAAGGACAGTGGTGAAGATCCAGGACATTTGTTTTATTTATGGACAAGTGGCAAATTTATAAAGTCCACTTTTTTACTCTGGGAAGTTAAAGAGTCTGAAACATTGTGGATCATTGGCCTCGAGACACAAAGTTTGAAACCATAAAACAAGTAGAAACGGCTCCATCATAATTATGGCCGTTTGCCAGAAATACATATCATAGAACAGGACAACGGCCATCTTGGTCATGGACAGGGCCTGGTTAGTGCTGTGATGGGAGACCTCTGGGAAGGTGCCTCAGTGGGACGGCTGTAAAGTGCCAAACCGTCGCTGTGTCCTTGGGCAAGACACTTCCCCCACATTAGAACGAGTCTGCTACGATGAACCAACTCGGACTCTGAGGAAAACCAAAACGGTTTTAAATATTTCCGATGTTTTATCAGACTTTTATTGAGCTTCATAATTTGTGCTTGTGCTTGTCCTGCAGGGGTATAAAGGAGCCCCGAGAGCGTTCATCGCCACCCAGGGGCCCATGGTGCACACAGTGGGGGACTTCTGGGACATGGTGTGGCAGGAGCGAGCCTCTGCCATCGTCATGCTAACCCAACTCAAGGAGGAGCAGCAGGTGAGGTCCAGACCGGCCCCGGGGATCCAAGATGGCGGCCTGTTCATGTCAGTGGCTCGTGCTCAGTAGTGCATGGGACAGACACGTGACTGAGAGATTAGAGGAACCTGACTATATTTGGGCATCGTCTGGTCCTCCCGGTTCTGCACAGTGAACGAGCTCCCATGATGCTTTGCGCAGCGTTCTGACCAATCAGAGCTGCTCATCAGAGCGGGAGCCAAAAGAGCAGAGTTTCTCGCATTAAAGCTGAACAAACTCACTTTGCGATTTTGAAGCAGCTGTTTCATGTGAGCACTGGCCTCGCTTTTTCTGCTCCCCCTCCCCGCACTCACGAAGCTATCGCCCCCCACTGCCCCCCTCACCCTCAGCCTGTGCTAACGTGCTAATTGTTTACGGAGCTGGCGTTTCACATGGATCGCACATGTGAACGTGGCGTGACCATAGAATGATAGAACCAGGAAGTGCGGAAGAACGAGACTTTCTTTTGTTTGTTTCTCTGAGTAAGCAGAAACCGGAAACAAAGACACAGAAGTTTCAGGTTAGCCTCCGCCGCTTGTTTACCTCAGCTGTCGGTGCTAACCACAGACCTGGGGCTTTTCTCAAGGAAGTGGGGGCCAGTGGTCCGCTGTGATTGGTCACAATCTGGACCCGAAACACATTCTCTTCTTGTTTCATGAAAACTTGATCTAAAATAAAATGACACGGCAGCACAAACCAGCGCTACTTATTCTTCAAAAGGACGTTTATCCCAAAGCACTGAAGGACATGGGTTGGATTATTTAACTGATGAATACAAAAATAAAGTCAGTTAATGCAGCTTAAAAGTGTGGATTTAAAGACAATTTAGGGATTTAAGAAGAAAAAAAGTTGAGGACGACAAGAGACAATAAAATCCCCAGAAAATCTTTATGAAAGCTGTAGGTTCTCTGTCAGGTTCTCTGTCAGGTCCTCTGTCAGGTCCTCTGTCAGGTTCTCTGTCAGGTTCTCTGTCAGGTTCTCTGTCAGGTCCTCTGTCAGGTCCTCTGTCAGGTTCTCTGTCAGGTTCTCTGTCAGGTCCTCTGTCAGGTCCTCTGTCAGGTCCTCTGTCAGGTTCTCTGTCAGGTTCTCTGTCAGGTTCTCTGTCAGGTTCTCTGTCAGGTCCTCTGTCAGGTTCTCTGTCAGGTCCTCTGTCAGGTTCTCTGTCAGGTCCTCTGTCAGGTTCTCTGTCAGGTCCTCTGTCAGGTTCTCTGTCAGGTTCTCTGTCAGGTCCTCTGTCAGGTTCTCTGTCAGGTTCTCTGTCAGGTCCTCTGTCAGTTTCTCTGTCAGGTTCTCTGTCAGGTTCTCTGTCAGGTTCTCTGTCAGGTTCTCTGTCAGGTCCTCTGTCAGGTTCTCTGTCAGGTTCTCTGTCAGGTCCTCTGTCAGGTCCTCTGTCAGGTTCTCTGTCAGGTCCTCTGTCAGGTTCTCTGTCAGGTCCTCTGTCAGGTTCTCTGTCAGGTCCTCTGTCAGGTTCTCTGTCAGGTCCTCTGTCAGGTTCTCTGTCAGGTTCTCTGTCAGGTCCTCTGTCAGGTCCTCTGTCAGGTTCTCTGTCAGGTTCTCTGTCAGGTTCTCTGTCAGGTTCTCTGTCAGGTTCTCTGTCAGGTTCTCTGTCAGGTCCTCTGTCAGGTTCTCTGTCAGGTCCTCTGTCAGGTTCTCTGTCAGGTTCTCTGTCAGGTTCTCTGTCAGGTTCTCTGTCAGGTTCTCTGTCAGCTGAGGTCGAGCTGTTTTCGTTTACATTGAGTTCTATGGGAAATGTTTCTGGGTAACGTGACTTTAGTCTGCAGTACCACAGCGCCCCCTGTGGCCATGGGTGGGACAGATATAAGCTAGTATTACTCTATCCAGATATTATTATAGATCCATGGGTCCACAATCCACACAAGATTTCTTCTCAACAAAAAACATGCAGGAGACTGTACACATAAGTATCTGTAAGAGTCATAAACTCTTGTTCTAACTTAATAACAGAAGAACAACTCTCTGAAGTGCTCCATGTCCTGTCTTTCAGAAGTGTGAGCTGTACTGGCCGCTGTCTGACTCCGAACACAACTCTGGAACTTTTGGGCGATTCCAGATTGAGGTCAAAAACAGAATCAAGAAACATGGCCTCACCATCACAGATATGAGTGTCCAGGTGAGACCTACTCCTCCTCCTCCTCCTCCCTCTCCTCCTCCTCCTCCCTCTCCTCCTCCTCCCTCTCCTCCTTCTCCTCCTCCTCCTCCTCCCTCTCCTCCTTCTCCTCCTCCTCCTCCTCCCTCTCCTCCTTCTCCTCCTTCTCCTCCTCCTCCTCCTCCTCCCTCTCCTCCTCTCCTCTCCTCCTCCCTCTCCTCCTCCTCCTCCCTCTCCTCCTCCTCCTCCTCTCCTCCTCCTCCTCCTCCCTCCTCCTCTCCTCCTCCCTCCTCCTCCTCCTCCTCCTCTCCTCCTCCTCCTCCTCCCTCTCCTCCTCTCCTCCTCCTCCTCTCTCCTCCTCCTCCCTCCCTCTCCTCCTTCTCCTCCTCCTCCTCCTCCCTCTCCTCCTCCCTCTCTCCTCCTCCTCCTCTCCTCCTCTCCTCCCTCTCCTCCTCCTCCCTCTCCTCCTCTCCTCCTCCCTCCTCCTCCCTCTCTCCTCCTCCTCCTCCTCTCCTCCCTCCTCCTCCTCCCTCCTCCTCCCTCCCTCCTCCTCCCCTCCTCCTCTCCTCCTCCTCCTCCTCCCTCCTCCTCCTCCTCCCCTCCTCCTCCTCCCTCTCCTCCTCCTCTCCCCCCTCTCCTCCTCCTCCCTCCTCCTCCTCCTCCTCCCTCTCCTCCTCCTCTCCTCTCCTCCTCCTCCTCCCTCTCCTCCTCCCTCTCCTCCTTCTCCTCTCCGCCTCCTCCTCCTCTCCTCCTCCTCCCTCTCCTCCTCTCCTCCTCTCCTCCTCCCTCCTCCTCCCTCCCTCCTCCTCCTCCTCCTCCTCCTCCTCCTCTCCTCCTCCTCCTCCTCCTCCTCCTCCTCCTCTCCTCCTCCCTCCTCCTCCTCCTCCTCCTCCTCTCTCCTCTCTCCTCCTCCTCCTCCTCCTCCTCCTCCTCCTCCTCCTCTTCCTCCTCCTCCTCCTCTTCCTCCTCCTCCCTCTCCTCCTCCTCCTCCTCCCTCTCCTCAAGGCAAGGCAAGGCAAGTTTATTTATATAGCACAATTCATACACAAGGCAACACAAAGTGCTGAACAAAACAAGAAAGCATTAAAATCATAAATTATCACAGAACATTAAAAAGAAAGATAAAAATATAAAATCCCTCAGTTGTAGCACAGTTAAACAGAACTGTCTTTAACCTGGTTTTAAACATTGTCAGAGAGGAGGCCTGTCTCACATCTTCAGGAAGACTGTTCCAGATTTTAGCAGCATTAATCTGAAAAGCAGCCTCCCCATGTTTAGTTCTGACTCTGGGCACTAACAGGAGTCCAGTCCCTGTGCCTCCTCAGAGTCCGGGCTGGTTCATATGGGACTAACATGTCACTAATATATTTTGGTGCGAGGCTATGGAGAGACTTGTACACAAGCAGAGCTGTTTTAAAGTCTATTCTCTGAGCCACAGGAAGCCAGTGCAGAGACCTGAGAACTGGACTAATGTGGTCGTACTTCCTGGTTCTAGTCAGGACTCGAGCTGCTGCATTTTGAATGTACTGCAGCTGTTTTACAGCCTGTTTGGACAGACCTGTGAGCAGGCCATTGCAGTAGTCTAACCTACTGGAGACAAATGCATGGATAAGAATCTCCAAGTCTGCTTTAGACACTATGTTTTTGATCCTGGCAATGTTTTTTAGATGGTAAAAAGCTGCTGATGTTACTGATTTGATGTGGCTATTAAAATTTAAGTCTGAGTCCAGTATTACCCCTAGATTTCTGACCTTGTTTGAAGGTTTTAGGGAGAGAGACTGTAGGTGACAGATGACGCTCTCTCTTTGTTTCTGGGGACCAAAGACAATCATTTCAGTTTTGTCTGCGTTTAGCTGAAGGAAGTTGTTTTGCATCCACTCACTGATCTGTTGGATACAGTGAAGGAGTGAGTCCACTGGTCCATGTTCTCCTGCAGTCAGTGAGACATAGATCTGAGTGTCGTCTGCATAGTTATGATAGGACACTTTGTTTCTGCGTATTAACTGACCTAACGGCAGCATGTAGAGATTGAACAGAAGAGGTCCCAGGATCGACCCCTGTGGGACTCCACAGGTCAGGGCCATATGATCTGAGACACAGTTTCCAATCTCCACAAAGTACTTCCTGTCTTCAAGGTAAGACCTAAACCAACTTAGGGCGGTGCCAGTGACGCCAACCCAGTCCTCTAGTCTCTGTAAGAGGATCTCATGGTCGACGGTGTCAAAGGCAGCACTTAGATCTAACAAGATTAAGATTGAGACTTTGCCTGCGTCAGTGTTCAGCCGGATATCGTTTGTAACCTTAACGAGAGCAGTCTCAGTGCTGTGGTGGGGTCTAAAGCCGGACTGAAACATATCAAATGAGTTGTTGATTATAAGAAATCTAGTAAGCTGTAGGTAGACAACTTTCTCAAGGACTTTCCCCATAAATGGCAGATTTGAGATGGGACGATAGTTGTTAAGTACCGTAGCATCGAGACTGCTCTTTTTTAGCAGGGGCCTGATGACTGCAGTTTTCAGGGCCTTTGGGAATATTCCAGAATGAAGGGACATGTTTACTATCTGTGTGAGTGAAGGTAACAGACTGCTCAGAACAGACTTCAGAAATCTAGTGGGTAGTACATCCAGGCTGCATGTGGAGGAGCTCAAACTGGAGATTATCTCTTGGACAGTTTTATCATTTACAGGTGCAAAGTGAGTTAGCTCAAAGAGCCTTTCTGGCTGTTGGATGGTTATCTGTGGATTGGAGACAATGGCGCTTTTGATGCCTTGAACCTTGTCATTGAAAAAATTAGCAAACTCATTGCATTTACGTTTGGAAGTAAGCTCTAATGGCATTTGAACAGGGGGGTTTGTTAATCTATTAACTGTTGAGAACAGAACACGCAGATTGTTGCTGCAGCCTTCAATCATTTCAGAAAAATACCTTTCTCTCGTACTACGTAGCACCCGTTTAAACTCGCACAACTTATCTTTGAAGATCTCGTAATCTACCTGGAGGTTGGACTTGCGCCACTTCCGCTCGGCCCTCCGGCACTTTCTCTTTTGTGCCCTGACCGAGTCTGCTTTAGCCCACGGCGCCTTCTGCTTATTTTTCACTATTTTAACCTTCACAGGGGCAACGGTATCCAGAACATTCAAAACACTAGAGGTGACAGAGTTAAACAGTTCATCTACAGTAGAATACGATGCATTCTCAAAGTTTATCATTTCCATAAATAGTTCACTCGTATTTTCATTTATGCGCCTTCTTCGAACAGTTGCAGAGTCCACTGGTGGTTTGTTAGTGAAACACATGTCAAAAAAAACACAGAAATGATCCGAAAGAGCAACATCGACCACGTTTACATTTTGAAATAATCACCCCCTTTGTAACTAACAGATCTAGAGTGTGCCCTCTGCTGTGGGTGGGGCCACTTACGTGCTGAGTGAGATCAAAGGATTCAAGTACAGAACTCAGCTCATTTGCATTTCTGTCATCAACATTATCCACATGAATATTAAAATCACCTGTAATAACCAAACTATCAAAATCTGTGCATACAACTGAAAGCAACTCGGTAAAATGATCAATAAAACTGTGACATGACTGCGGTGGCTTGTATAGGACAACGAAGAGTATTGGAGGAGATTGTTTTTGTTGTATTTTAAAAGACACATATTCAAATGACGAAAACTTCCCAAGAGACATTCTATGGGAGACAAAGTGGTCTCTAAAAATGGCAGCTAAGCCTCCTCCTTTTTTGTTTTCCCGTATTTCAGATTCAAACTTGAAATTTGGTGGTGATGCTTCTATTAAAACTGCATTTTCTGAATTTTGGTCAAGCCAAGTTTCAGCCATGAACATAAGATCAAGATTATGAGAAGAAATAAAATGATTGATTAAAAAAGACTTGTTACAAAGAGATCTGACATTAAGCGTAGCAAGTTTCAAAGTTTCAGTATCAGCGGTTGCGGTCGGCTGATTCTTACACGGAACAAGAATTAGATTTTCCAGATTAGACTGATTAACTCCAGATGTTTTTCTGTAATGTATTCTTTGTGTTATCACTAAGGGAATGGCACAGGTGGCTTCATGACAGGGCCCCAGCCGGGTCTCTCCTCTAACTAGACTGCCAGTGGCTGCGAAGCAGAGACCCTGTGCATCCTAGTGTTTAGAGAAAAGAGGGGTAGGGGAAGGCGGGGGAGGAGGATGGAGAGGTGGGTGGCTTTTGGGTGTTGAACGAGGGGGGCAGGGAGGTGGAGGGGTTTTAGGTGATGGGTTAGGGCCGGGGTGGGCTGAGGCAGAGGTTTTGGATGTTGAACGAGGGGGAAGTGGGGGTGGAATGGTCATGAGGTTAGGGGAGAGACTGGCTGAGGTGGTTTTTGTAGGTGAATTGGAAACCCTAGGTGGTTTTGGTGGTACATATGGGGAGTGGTTTAGAATGTTGGACAGGACTCTAGATCGAGCTAATATGGGTGTGAGAGGAATAGTCTTCATCGCCGATTTTATTAGCCCTGCAGAGTGTTCAGGTAGGTCTAACAGTGAAGGCGGGGATGAAAAACAAAGGGAGGTGTCCCCATTCTCTCTTGATGGAGTGGACGTGGCAGGGGGGACCCAAGACAGGTCCTTGGGAGGTGGCGAGGGAGTCTTTAATGGAGGGGCAGGTGGTTGAGGAAACCCCAGCACAGGCCTGTCTGCTGTAGGCTGGGGTGAGGATTGGGGCTTGCTGCTGGTGCTGCTGGTGCTGCTACTGGTGATGATGCAGCTGCTGCTGGTGATGATGCAGCTGCTGCTGGTGATGATGCAGCTGCTGCTGGTAATGATGCAGCTGCTGCTGGTGATGATGCAGCTGCTGCTGGTGATGATGCAGCTGCTGCTGGTGATGATGCAGCTGCTTCTGATGACAGTGGAGGTGTTGAGATCCTTCGAGGTGGTTGTGGTGTTGAGATCCTTTGAGGTGGTGGTGGTGTTGAGATCCTTCGAGGTGGTGGTGGTGTTGAGATCCTTCGAGGTGGTGGAGGTGCAGAGACTTTTGGAGTCGGCTTCCTCCCTTTCGATGGCTGCACGCGCTGCGCAGGCTGAGATCTCAGGGCAAAAGAAAGGTTATCCATCAGCACTTTTACTCCGTAAGTGTTCAGATGTGGCCCTTTCCCTTCAAAAAGCTCATGCCTATTCCAGAACAGATTAAAATTCTCAATGAAGGCAAGTCCTCTGCGTGAACATTCGTTGAGTAGGAAAGTATTTAGCTGATACAGACGACTGAATTTCATTTGCTTCCCGTCCACATTTGGTAGTGGGCCACTGATAACGATTTTTGTGTCCATTTTAGCAAGGTCGTCCAATAATAGAGAGTAATCCCGTTTCAACTTTTCACTTGTGTTGTCATAGACGTCTACTGCCCCCACGTGGATCAACAATCTTTTTACCCCGCCGGTCTCAGACAGAAGCCTCGGAGCCAACCGCCTTATCTCATCCACTTTGGCAGAGTGTACTGAGTGAACCTTGAGATTACGCATATTTACATTTCTTATCGCCGAATCCCCGATAAAGAGCGACTCAGCTGCATTTGACCTTGACTGAGACTGAGACTGGGACTGAGAGACTACTGCTGATTCATCTTCCAAAAGTGGTGAAAAGCGGTTTCTTGTAATTAAAGATTTTTGCTGTGGCATTATGACACTCTTGTTATCATTAGCTTTGCCTTGTTTGGGCTTGGCACCATATGTGTTCCAACAATTGTCTCTGTTGATTTTGGGAAATGAAATAGCGTCATCATAACTTACGTTTTGTCCATGTGGTCCATTTCCTTTCACTGGTATTGTTGTGTTCAGCCCCAATTCTGATTCAAGCACAAACATTCGGTCTTGAAGAAGTTTTAGCTCCTGTTTGAGTGAAAAACAGCCGTCGCAAAGTTTTGTTCTATTTTCCCGTCCTCCCGACATGCTGTAAGTTAGGTAAATTCCACCAGTCTTGTGTTGAAGTTTGTAAAAAGGAGTAATCCGTGTTTTGTGGAATAAAAATGTAAGCAAAAATGATTAAAGGAGATAAAAAAGCAGCAAGCGAGGAGCAGCAAGAGAATGCGACTGCTCTGTCCAGAGCAGGAAGTAGGTCACCTCGAATAGTAACATGTTCGAGGCCTGAAACAGATAGCACTGGCTGTTTGTCTAGTATAAGAGTCTTCTATAGCTCCTGTTGCTCCTCCTTCTAGGGGAACGATGGCTTTGCTCCTTCCTGACATCACCTGTGTTTAAGGGCGCATCTGTTCTGAATTACAGCGGTTCTCGTAGGTTTATGACGCAGTCCCAGTCCAGCTAACGCATAGAGCCACTTTGGCAAGAACCGTAATGAATTTGAGGACAAGTTGTGGAAAAATACTTCACTGCGGCAATTAAGATTTCCATGATTGATAATTGACAGGGAAGATCAAATGGTGTTTTTTCCAGTAGCATGTAGAGGGAGCAAAAACATTGGAAATGTTATTGGACAAGGACAAATCTATTTTGTGGTTCAAATCTAGAGCACCTTTATTTCCACAGTGTGTGAGACAGAACAATGAAATGACCGCACTGGAGTCTAATAGCAATAAAACCTCAAACCCACATCCAGGCCTGGATTATCAATTATAGAAAACAAAACCAGGCGGACTTCGTGACTTCAAGCTCATTCCTACCAAAGGTTTTTCATATCCACTCATAAAATGAATAAATAATCATTTTTAAAATATATGTGGTCAAGTTGCTTTCGTCAAAGACTGTTGCTATAAATATGACGCTTAAAGGAATGTATTTGAAGACGTTTGGTCAGAGACAGGAATTCTCAACATAACCCAGTTAAAGTTGCCACTGAATGTGCTTTGCTGTGGAAATAAAGCAAATGTCTTTTGCAGAGTCCTGAGATATTTAAAGAAAACCTATTTTTATTTATTTGAAAATTGCCTACTGACAAGTAGCAGACCCTACTTGAGGTACAGATATCCAGGTAAAGCCTCACTGCAAAAAGTGATTAAAAAAAAGGTCAAAAATTGCTCATATTCGGTAAAATGTCTCATTGGAATGAGAAAAAAAAGCATGAGTTCTTGAAATAAAAACCAAATGGCTTTGTCCCATTGTCCCAAATCTTGTTTTAAGACAGTCAGAATGTGCTCAAATTAAAATAAAAACCACTTGATTCAACCAATTATTACCTCCTAATTTATATTTTTTCTAGTGTGCACAGTTTTTCCTGTTGAATGTAAAAAGTTCATGATGTCGTCTTTTATGGTTAAGCTTTAGAGGCTTCTTTACACTTTTATCTTATTAAAGAACCTTCAATCTATCCGTCTGTATTCAAGGAGACTTTTCCAACACAGGGTCTGGAACACACAGCGCATCACAGTCCACATCACACAAGGCACAAATCATCACATACAACACACTCCAAAATCACCGTTAAAAACACAATTCAAATCACACAGCTAATTAAAAACATAAAACCTTCTAAGCCTTAAAGGTGCAGTGAAGGATTCAGGTTAGCTTTGCAGTAGCATCTGAGTAGAACTGAACGCATCTCATTGGCTCGAGTGGGGAGAGAACGCATCCCATTGGTTTCGTTCTATTGGTCTGCTCGAAAATATTTATGAATTAGTTTTTAGCGGCTACAGGCATCTGGTCATGTCCATCCCTATTTGAAAACACATGATGACTTGACTCCTTTTTTTGGGTTTAGGGACTTAAGCTGTTGCTGCTACTATTACCCACGTCAGTCAATGCGTTCAATGTTGTCTTTCCAGGTGCTGAACATAACCCGTCAGTACATTGCCCGACACCAGAAGACCGCGATCCCGCTCATAGAGAAGTACGCAGAGGAGTGGCGGTTGACGGGACAGCCCATTTTCCGTCCCATGTGGTGGCTGAGCCCGAGCGACCCTCTGACTTACACCATCGACGATCAGTTCCTTATCGGAGATGAGGTGACTTTAGCACTTTGCGATAAGTCGTTAGGAGTTCATTCCGCCTGCATGTGATACGTCCTGTCCCTGGGCTGTAACGTGATGTGCTGCTAATTGGTCAGAATGTGTCGGTCCTAATGAGTGTGCTTGTGTGTGCGTGTGTGTGTGTGTGTGTGTGTTTGTTTTCAGCTCTTGGTGGCCCCAGTGGTGGAGAGGGGAGCGGTGCACAGGGATATCTACTTACCTGATGGGGGCTTCCAGTGGCAGGACAGCCTGACAGCGCAGGTGTTCGATGGCGGGACGCTTCTACAGGACTACTCCGTGGCCTTGGAGGAAGTGGCCGTTTTCAAAAGAAGAAGCTGAGTCAGATGCCCTGATGATACTGTACACAAATCATTTTCAACTCGTGCTGTTTTTTCGTCGGCACTTTTTCCACTTAGGACCTGCAGTCTCCAGCTCCAGCCTGAGACGCGTAGAAACTTTTTTTTTATACTTGCACTTTATAAATTCAAATGTGTATTTTTTTTTTTTTTAAGATGATTTAATCAATTTTACCTCTGGCTGATTTTGTTTCCCAGTATTTTTTTTGTGGCTTCTTTTATAAGGCTGATGCATTTCTACAGCCACATTTTTATGCTGCTCGCTTTACTTGACAAAGAAGAAACAAAACCAGCCCCTGAATCTTTCAACAAGACCAAACGAAGATGGACGGAGGACGGCAACACAACGGAACGTGCTCATTTGGTGGAATGAGCTGACAAACAAACCTGCACGTTGGTAACACACGCCTCACCACTTACCAGGCTTTACTTGAACCTACCAGGCCACTGTGGCGGATGATTGTGAATGTACCTCAAGTAAATGTTTCTTACTTTTATTTTTTTTACACCCAGTCAAACCATGGCAATCTTACAACCCATAGCACTTATACATATACATACAAACAACACATGCTTATTTGTGTATGTATTTTCAACATACCACTTGATCGACACACTTATCTTAGTACTGTAGGCCTGAAGCCGAGGCCCCTGACTCTGCAAGTCCTGTGCATAAAGTACATTTTTAAACTTATAATTGTATTAACCTGCTGTAGTAAGGGCTTTGATTGAATGCTTAAATAGTACTAAGTGTGAATTATTTATAACCTGTGTAGTGGTATAATGGAACACAGTACAGCCAGTGCAAAGTACAGTGCAACTCCTATACAAGAAAGTTACCATTTATTATGATTTAGTTTAACATAGAAAAGGCAATTAGGAATAATATGAATCAAATCACTTTTGGATTGACAGTTTTACCTCAAGAATCAATGATATCAATTACCATTAAGTAACAGGACAAATACATTTGCTTTGGCTCATGGTGCAAACAAGTTGTATAGAAAAAGTAAAAGATGGATATGATAGATACATGATGCACACGCTTCCAACACCGTAGAGTTTACAGTGTCTTCTCACTCTCAGGTCGACGATCCTTAAATCACTACATGTCTTAGCCCGGCACCGTACAAATTGTGAACGCAAAGTCTTAATTTGTCTTAAAATGTACGACGTTCGATGTACATGAAACTGTGAATCGTTTTGCCCAATGCTTGGATGGAGTGCAGCGGTATGTTCAGCAGAAAAAGGCTTTGTGTCCTATTCTTTAAGAAAACCCAGCTCCCTGTGCCTTATGTGCCACTTCTGGACAAAGGAAGTGTTATTGCAGTGTTAGCAATGTACGACATATTACAATGACTGTGCCATTACAAGTGTTTTTTCTTCTGTAAATCAGAAATTAGAACAATTAAGTTGCAATAAAGTTTACATTTTCTTACTTAATTTCTATACGTTGATCATTTGATTATTTGGGACGAATGTGAAATATAAAAATGTATACACACATATATATAAACCCCCCTTTGTAAGTTGTTGCTTCAAAAACTAGGCTCAAATCAAGTCAGTATAAAAGAGTTGGTAAGTCTCTGTCTGCTTCATCCCTGACATGTTTTTTTATATAGCGCATTTTAGAGACCAAGGTCACCCAAAGTGCAAAGCATCAAAGCCCTCATACATACATTCAAACCTCTTGCACATGTTTTTAGTGGTATGGGAAACCGGAGCACCCAGAAGAAACCTACGCAGACACGGGGAGAACATGCAAACTCCACGCAGAAAGATCCTGGAGGTGGAATCGAACCCAGGACTTTCTTGCAGGACGCTAAACAATTACAAAATACATACAGGCACAAACAATACATAAACACAAAGGTTCAAAGGTGGAGAAAGAGGGAGACCCCGGACCCTTCCGCTACCAGCGGGATGTCACCCTCAGGTCACACTAGATGGGTCAACAAGGACAAAGAGGGGGTCCCCTTGAAAAAAATCTAATAGATCAAATAGTTTGTACTGGTGAAAATGATCAAAAGTCCATTCATTTCTGTAATTCAACTTCGATCAAATCTGCAAACTTACAGGACATGCAAGGTGAGATTTTCCGAGCCAAAGTTATAATGTTAAAGACTTACAGTTCATTTACAAAATATTCTAATTCTCTGAGATGTTTTATTTCTGGCTTTGTACAAGTGTGAGACAATTATCCACATTATAACACGTAAAGGCTTATATCTCACCGGCCAAGTACTGAGTCTGTCATGTATTAGTTTCATATTGTGAGTTGAATTACTGAAGAAAATTGCTTTTGAACAATATTCTAATTTTCCAGTTTCACCAGTATATCCTAAGCCACTGTTATTTGTGTGTATTTCATGTTGTTTGTCCCAATAGAAAAAGTGTAAAACTAAAATGTTATGAGAAAATGCCACCACAACTGACTGTCATAATCTTGTTCCAAACCTGTTTTATTTTGCCTACTAATAGAAAGCCCTGTGAGTCACTAGTTCAGGCTTCGGGCTGAGAGCAGATCGGAGTTCCTCTCTGTTTCACTTTCCACGGTGATAGAATCGAGCTGTTTTGAAAGCAAGAAACTATTTTAAATTCAATAATAATAATTAAATGGAAACCATTAACTGAACTTTAACGATAATAACTTGGTTGTTATCAGACTCACTCTCTCTTAATAATCTATTCTGCCACTTCATATGATCCAGTGTGGGACCGGTCTGCTGACAACTCTCTTCTACCTAATTCCACTTAAACCTAATAAAGTTATTTTTAACCGGGGTACGCATGTCTCCGCCGAGATTCTCAGGGGAATCGCGGCTCCTTGCTTGGCTCAGATCCACCTTGGGGCCCCCGAACTCTGCTCCTGTAGCGCTCTTAGACAGGTGCAGCTGGCCACAGACATGCACAGCCCCTGCAAGCCAAGTCTCCTCTCCATTTACACCACAAGTCTTGATCACTTTTTTTTCTTATATCACACTTATGTTTTTTTTTTTCAAATCAGGGTGAGGTTTTTACAGCCGGATAAAATTTGCAAGAAATATTGTGTACTCGTTTGCCAGGTGTTCAAGTTACACTGCCACATGAATCATACTTGTAATTAATCTTGTAAGAAATCTCAGTATGACCTTAACGCCAGACCACATATGTGCAAGTATGACTTCATTGTTAGAGGTTTTTCGCCAAAATATTTTGAGGTAACACTTGTGAGGTCCACTTCCTGCACAAATCAAATTGTTTCAGACATGCACTGCAAAAAACTTATAAGATGTGAAGTGATAATTGCCTTAAAACAAGATTTGCCAATGGGACAAAAACTGCTGCTTTATTTTCTCATTTCAAGGGAGACTTTTCTTGTATCTTTTTAAAACAAGATCATTTTGCATGTCCCATTGGCAAAATGTGCTCAACTGAATATACATTTTGCCATATTGTAGCAATTTAAGACTTATTTTTCACCATGTTTTGTAGTGTGGTGCAGTTTGAGTATCCCCCTTTAAACGTTTTTATAAATGGTCACAGGAGTCTTAACTTTTCTCTTCACAATTCTCGTACTCAACACGTGTCAGTCGTTCCAATTATACTGAGAAAATCTTTACACGAGTTGTAGAGTAGAGCCTGGAAAACAAGTTGTTCTGCCAAGAGCCAAAATTAAGACAGACAACATTCATTTGCATGCAGTAGCAGTAATTAGATCAATGCCATTCCAAATAGCAATGAGTGAAAATTATATACAGTGGAGCTACATATGTGTTTTGGGGAGCAAGAGGTGTATGAATTATACTGGTGACAAGTAGAGGTCGCAGATATCTCCCCAAGTCTACTTTTAGAAAGTGCAAGTCAAGGTTTTGAGTTTCAGTGTCTGCTCTTCTTGAGTGAATGAGTTTCGCAGCTTGCCAATAAGGTGCACAATTCAAAGCCTTGTTGTCAGAAAGTCCGGTTTTATGGTTGACAACATAATAGCGCTCTCCACGCTTAATTTTTTCGGTGTAAGTTGTAAATTAATTCCTCTTTATTGACGTTTATGTTCACAGACACAGTCACAAAGAGCTCTATCATTGTTGTGGGCTATTGTCCTCTCACTCAACACAGTGATGGGAGTGGTCTGTACACAGGAGGCACATATGAGACGTATTTTAGGTGTTTTTAGTGGTAGGGTAGCTCGGAGCACCCGGAGGAAACCTACACAGGCACAGGGAGATTGTGCAAACTCCGCACAGAAAGGTGGTATGTGTATTGAAACTTCAAATATGAAACCAATACATGATATAAGATAGGAGAAATTGTATTTGTTCCACAGAGGGGAGATTTCAGTGTTGCAGCGGACATACAGGACAGTAGTAAGAGCACACAACATATACAGAGATAAGTAGCTGTGAATGCGTCATAATAAGAGCAATTAGTAGAGTAAATGTATAGTGTAAGTCAGCGCAATATTGCAGATTAAATAAAGTAGATTGACATTCTGTGGACATTTTGAAATTGTAGTATTGCACATGAAATGACATCTCATCGTACATTCGGACAGAAACAGGAAGGAAAGACCAGCGATACCTCCTTCACACAGCAAGGGTGGATCAGTCTGTCACTGAAGCTGCTCATTACATGCAAAGGGAGATGCAGTATGCCAAGTTGTGTTGATAGTTTGAAAATACAAGCTGCGAGCCAATTATCAACATTAAAACAAAAGGATTGATAGAGCTCACTTGCCATCAGTCATATAGTTTTACATTTTAAGTTAAATTACACAAGAAAATGGACCTTTGAATGATATTCTACATGTTTTGTATGTTGCATCAACTACAGCCTGTAACTTTTATGGATTACCGTAATTGTATTTCCTAATAAATTAACTTTGTTTAACCCCGTCATTTGGCTTCTATTGAAAAAGACTGTTTTGAGGCGGCTCGAGTCAAACCAGCTGCTATCATTACAAGCCAACATGGCAGATTTAATAAACACCAGTCTAAAGAAGGAAGCCTCATTTTTACACTCGAGTGAGTTACGGATGCAAGAAAGACCGAGATGGAAAAGCCAGCCAGGCAAAAATTTGCGCAATTTATGGAAAATAAAACACGTAGACTTGTGTACGGCTGTCTGACATTCTCTTTATTTTGGTTTAATTAGCCACATGTCTTTTTAGCATCTGTTAAATTAAAGGCCAAGATACAAGTTGTCCGCAAAACCATGCAGCAGTGTAAACAGTTCTAATCAAGATAAAAAGTCATCTAACAACAAGTTACTGTCCAGCTTTAGCTTTTTCCTTCTTAAATGAGAAAATCCTAAACTTAGTTCCTATAACTTACACTCACCACATCCAAAAAGATGAAAATGTAGTTGTCAAACCTGTGTAAATTAAATTAAAACATGAAAAAATAAATAATTTCCGGTCAACATATACAAAATAGAAATGAGAGAACTGTTGTTGACTAGTAGTGCTCTGCTTTTACACAACTTTGACCAATGAGATATTTAGTTGACGAAAGATTTACAGTTCAAAATGACCCTTTGTTGAATGGAGTTTCAACTTAACATGTTTTTCGGAGTGTGAGTTTCTGTGTCTATATTGTATTCATAACATTAAGATGAAATGTCAGTAGGCCTTGAACTGTTTTGTTACAATTCAATTATGTTCATCTGTATCAGGTTTGTCAAACAGGTTCCAGAAAGAGGCCAGTGTGGCTGCAGGTTTTCATTCCAACCAAGCAGAAGCCCTCTACGCCCTTCGAGGACCGGTTTGACACCCCTGAACTCTGCATTAAAAGTCGCCTTTAACTTACAATTAATTTCCACTTTAAAATAAGCAGAAATCTTCCAAAAATCTACCAGCTAAAAAAGGCCAAGTCGCTATATAACCTGAGAATGAATGAGAAGACGGATAAAGACGGACATTACCTCCCTTTTGTCGCTACATCAACAAATTAGCAATCAAAGAAATAGCAGCTAAAATATACAGTGGGTACAATGCTTTGACATCAATTGATTTATGTTGAATTTTCCTTCATCATGTTTCAATTTAAATACCAAATTATTGCTACATAAAATTATTATACTCAGCTTTGATCTGGCAAATCAGATGTCATTCTGAGTTTGAAATAAAAGAAATGTCCGTTAGAGTCTAAACATAAACAGGGAGGACTTCAACATCTGTCTCACGGCCTAAAACAAAAGATAAACAAAATGTGATTCTTCTAAACAGATCTTCACTTGAAACCTCAAACGTCAGCAGCACACGTCCTCGTTCCTCCTTTTCTGCCCTTGTTACATTGACGAGTCATGAAGGCACCAGTAAGTACAGCCTTGAACACCACTTCCATTCTTTATAGCATAATCTCAGCTATATACAAATACATAAAGATGGATGTTATTGCAAACACCATGTTTCCTTATTCCTCTCACAATAATAAACTTAAAACATTCCCAAATGTCAAACCTGTACAAAATCTATCTATAACATTGTCTGTTCGTTGCACCAGTGGAAGCAGCGCTCACTTTGTGTCTTTCTTTTCGAGCTGAAACAGATCCAGAATGTCCATCATGGCCTGTTTGATGTGGCCCCCGAAACGGTGCGAGTCCTAGAAACAGACGTTTTTAGTTCATTTGAACAGAACTAAACATGTCAATAGTAAAAGTGCACTTAACTTACAGTTTCAGGACTTGAATGTTTGCTGGAGATGTGGAAATTGATGAGATTCTCGCCGAGAATGATGTAAGAGACGCCATATCCATCATCCGCAACCTAAACTCAGAAAAAGCAAAAGCAAGAAAACACGAGAAATGATTTACATGATCGTTTTTTTCCATTCCAGAGGATATACATGTTCTGGAAATCACCTGTACAATTTTACAGAGGGTACTCCCCTCAATGACAAACAAGCAAGAAAACTTGTAATGACTCACCGGCCCAAATCCTCCACCTGAGGACACATATTCTGGGTGTTTGATCAGATCAAACAGCTCCACCTGCTGGAGAGGGGTCTGGCTGGTGGACAACCTCCATGGCTCAGAAAGCACCTAAATAACAATTGAGTCAATAAATAAAAGAAAATATACAATCATGGAGTCCATATGTAGGTACGTGCGCACATTAAAATAAATAAACGTATAAATATATAATATAATAAATTATCAACCCCTACCTCTTTGAGGAAGGGGGAGTCCTCTCCCAAGTATTTAGAGACCACATAGAGGCAGAATAAGTGACGGTCGATGCCATCTCCTGTCATTGCCAAACGGTACATATTCTGGTGCTTCTCTGCTGCCGCTTTAAGCAACTTCAAACGCTCCTCTCTCTGAAAAATATGCATCCATAGTATATACAGTTTTATTTTTTATTTTTTTGGTAGAACTGATTGGAATTAAAGACTTTTGTCAACTCACGGTTTCATCTCCAATCATTGAACGGACAAAGGCACAGGTCTCCATGGTACAGGAACGCACGGTTTCTGTCCGTCCTTCACGGAAGAGACGGGTCATAGAGGCTTCATAAGTCAGGCAGAACTTCCCCTTGTCCTGTAGGGAAAGACATCATCAAAACCCTCCTGTACTGTGCAAAGGAGATAAGCAGTGAAGCCATCGCAGTGACTTTCACTGCCCTCTGCTGGAGAACGTTTACATTTTCACCATTTCAACTTAACATCAACATATCCACTCCAGATCAGAACAAAATAATATCGCAAAGAGAATAAATAATGGTATACTTCTGTAGCCAATTTGACCCACTCTGTAATGTGCCAGTTGCAGAGCGATCTGGATGAAGGCATCAGGACTGGTGCGGCACTTCTTAATCAGGCCTTTTCCAAAGGTGCTGAAAGGGATGATGTGACAGTCCACGTCATTGGCCAGGTTCTTAGCGACGGTCAGGGAGCTCTCAATCACCTCTTGACACTAAGCGGGGTACGACAACAGCAAAAAGTGTGATTGTATATACAATTTAATTTCAATTGTATATTCTTCTTAATGTGCTACATGAAGAATGGTAGAGCCTGTGGTCAGTTTTACCTCTGTGGGAATGTCCCACTGCAGTCGCTGTGGTCCTGGCATGTTATTATGGGGCTCTCCCTTGCAGTGGCCTTCTTCAGTATATCCTAACTTGCAAGGATCCATGGAAAGAACATGCTGGAACAAAAACACATTTAGAGTGAGTTTTTTTAATAACTGTATTCCTGGTAACCTGAGGAGAACATGTTAAATGTAACAGATGAAACAAGGGGCAATTACCCTATGAATACATAGGTGGTGCATTCTTGTTTGTACTTTTAATTGAACACACACATACCTCCCATAGATGACCAATAATTGGGGCATCAGCCCAAGAATGTTCTGCATTCAATCCCATTGTGCCATTTTTGAAGACAATCAAGTTGAAGGATTTATCAAACCACCTGAAACAGACAAAAACTTAAAATATATAATTTTACACTGTGTGTAAATTATCCTGCATCCTACCTGTCATAGCACTTTCCATGAAGCAGGCATTTGGCGTAGCTGTCCAAAGACGTCACTGGATTTTTCTCATCAAATTGTTGTTCGGTTTCATCAAGAGTGACAAAGAAGGCGGCCTTCTCGATGGCGTCTAAAGACTGCTTGTTCTTTCCACGGCTGAAGTAGCTCTCACGAGCATTGGCCCATGGCGTCCTGTGTGGGACACATTGTTTTCAATATTTTCTCCAGGCTGATTAAAAACTCATCAACAATGATTCATTTCTGCTGGTGTCTTAAAATCTTCAAGTACGTACATGTGTTTCAAGCAAGTGACCATTAATTCACTGACTAAAATAATTGATTATAAATTAACTATTTGTTACAATGAGTTGATAAATCATTGCAGCTGTACTACAGTTGTAGATTGACTTGGTTTTACCTGTCACCTGCGGTGAGAGCAGCGAGTTTCTCTTCTCCTGGAGAAGGTTCAGATGTGTCGGCCAAGATCCTCTCCATCTGCTGCTCGATCTCCCGTGGCAACAGCAGGCGTCCGTCGTAAAACATCCAGACCTTGTAGAAGCGCCCCTTATGGTACACCACGATGTGTTTTGTTTCATTCACATGCACCAGGGAGTCTGTGGAGAAGGGCCGACCGTAAGGACGAACAAGTGATAAGTATTATACTGCTTGGTAAAAAATAAAATAAAAGTGTAATTAGAAGCTAATAAAATAATGTAAGAAGGAATAGGATTAATGGATGTGTAACTACATTAAGCAAGCTGAACAGTAACTATGAAGAGGTGGATGAAAGGGAACAACAAATGGGGCTCAGACCATAATACCATGAGAGGCCATGTTTGTTTGAACATTGTAAAGTATTTGATGATATTCAGATCTCATGCAGAGACCATGTGGTCGTTTTTTGGAAGTTACATGTATTCAAACAAGCTCTGCCTTTGGGATGGGGGAAAGGGTGACCTAGTCTACGAACAAACCCAAGAACAACAACTTCGTATCCAGGTAATCCACAGCTGGTGTGTTGAGAAAGTGAGAAAGTGTATTATTGGGAAACTTATTTAAGTCAATAGTTCTCTGATACTGAAAACATTTAGCAGGATAATAACAGCGTTTCTCAACTTGTGCCACTCTGGGACCCACCTGTCAAACTAATGCGGTGGTAAACCACCAATACGTTAGACTATTTTGAAATATTGTGATTAATCCATTTATGGACATTTATCAACATTCATGGACATTGGGCTCTCCTTATGGAAATGCATAGAATACCTATGTGTTCTACATGTTTGTGTCTTAACTGTTGATTCTCTGATCTGTGTTGACGATTTTAATGGTTTTATTAAGTCTTCTGAGATGACTACTTTTGTGATTTAGGGCTATGCAAGAAAAAATTGAAATGAAATGAAATGGTGTGTCCATGTAATAAAATAAAATAAAATATAATATTCATCTGATTCAAGCTGAAAGCCAGTCCTGCTTCAGTCCTGGTTCGGGGGGGGTTAGGATCACCTGGGTCAAGTCCCAGTGACCAGAGTTTTTTTTTTTTTGGCTGATGTACATCAACCGTGATAATAGTGTTAAAGGACTGCACAGGGAGGAAGTGTAGGACTGTTATCTTAAGATTTGTTATGTCATTTGTTGTGACCCAGTTGAGAAAAGCTGCTCTAATTTTCTTTTCATATTTATGGATATAAACATGTTAACCATCACTGTATGATATGATTATTTACACACAATGGGAAATATTAGCTACATGCTTATGTATATTGCCAGGTAAGTATGATTTTTAAGGTCATGTTTTCTCAGGAGAACAAACAGTTGGACAAAGGTCCAATGGAGACGTAGAGTAAAAGTATTGCATCGAAGGTGGCAACTATACGGACTCTACCTGTGTCTACACCTGGAACACGACTGGTGTTGAACATACGCTCGTATTGGGATGAGCACATGGGGATAGTGTGTAGGAGCATGAGCTGAAAAGCAAAAGGAAAGAGTCAAAAACAGAGATGATCATCTAAGTAACTAAAATCCCCAGAACAGAGGACACTAGGAGCATGGACACAGTGGAGGGGACAATGAGGATTGGTCCAAGAAACAGCCAGGAGGAGGAGGGACCTCAAAAAGGTAGAAGGGAGGAACATGAACCAGTGGCTTCAAACTCAAGCTTTTCAGCAACGTGTGAACACATATACAGGTATTTGAAATATTACATAAAACAAAGATCTAGCATGCTTTTGGCAATGAGTTTGAAGTCAAGGTTTCAAAAAGGCTGTTGCCAAAGGTGATAAGGGTTAGCAAAGGTAGTCTGAGGGCATGGCACACCATGAGCCCTCCACTTACCCGTTTCCACACCAGGGGTGCGGGTGGTATTAAACATCCGCTCCCACTGAGCCGAACACAGTGGAACCTTGTTTGCCAGCAAGTATATCTAACGCAGCGTCCAACAGAGCAAAGGGATAAACAGTCAAACAGAGAACGGCAGGTGAGTGTGGAACAGAGCAAGCTCATGCACTAGTACTTGTACACACAGCAATTGAAATACATTCATGCCAGTGCTGACTAGGCTGCAAGTATTCTGCAACGGAAAATACATGCAAGTAAAAGAGAGGAGTCAAGAGGGACAATAACAATCCATATTGTACATGTGTAATGCTGTCTCCTGAGTAGGGCTGGGAACCTAAGGGTACCTCACGATACGATACGATACACGATACAAGGCTCACGATAACGATAATATCACGATAACGATATTACGATAACGATTTTATCACGTTATGACGATTATTGATATATTGGTCAGAAATATACAATATGCCAATTTATGGCATAAATTAAAGAAAAAATACTCTTTATTTCATGATAAATAGAATGGAGATGCATAATGTAGCCATATATTAAGTATTGATATCAATAAAAAAAATAAAAATAAACTTTTTTTTTTTTCTTCAAAATTGATGTTGATACTTGGCAAATGCATATCGATAATCGAATCGCGGGAGAAAGTATTGCGTCGTCACACCCCTACTCCTGAGAGTGCTTTTTGTGTCAACAATAAAACACCTTGAAACGTGGACAAAAATGTCTTTGAAGAAGTACGGCTGCAGCCTGAAGTCTGTGTTAAACCAGTGTTTGTCTTGAGATAAAGACTGCGAATGTATACTGTATGTAATCAGTTCTAAATGACGAGATTAAATATTTACAGAACCAAGGGCTGCTTAGGGAAAACCTACAACCAAAAGACTATTTACTTACTGGTTTGATTTGAGCTCTGTCCAGTTGTCTTCTATAGAGCATAATCGCATGAATAGCATTGCCAGCTCTTGCAGCCTGGATTGATGTTGGGAATACGTAGAGAAAATCCTAAAAACAGACAAAGAAGAATCTGTCATTATACCAGGTAATGTTTTGTAGATTTAATTATTTATTCATCATAAAATGCAAAGGATTACCATGGCATAATAGTTACTGTTGACCATAATGGGACTGCGGCCTCTTAGGTAAATGTACTCCTCCCACCAGTCACTGACCTGTGCAAAAGACGAAACAAGTTTTATTTCAGGCCGACGTGTAAAGATAGTCAAGAATAGTGTTGAAACAGTCACGCACATAGTTAGACGCCCACCAAGACTTCAACTTGAGATACCACTGCACTCTAGGACCCAGATTCTTCTCAAAGTCTTTGGCCAATCCCTTCATCCTTTCAAACTGTTCATCATCCATCAGTGGACGGACAGATTCCAGGTACTGTGAGCACAAGAGTAAAAAAAAACAAACAGGTTTTGTAAACCGAGCCATTTCAAAGAAGGCAGCGGGGGAAACTTACCCTTCTACAAGTGTCCTTTACAGAAGGAACAGGGAGTCTTGGCAGAGAGTTCTGGAAACTATAAAGCATTGGCTTCCGTCCTGAGAAAATCTTCACTAATATCTGTGTAGAAAAAGATTAAATCAAAGATTGTCAACAAAATGCTCCCAACACCACAACCTTTATTTTATAGACTGCAGAATAAATCTCACCATCCACAGACGAGTTGCATATGACACAGAGCCATGTCTCTGGGACATCCATCCATGCCATGACAGAAGGCCCTTGAGGACGTTCCTCATCACCATGATGATGGAGACCCACACCCCAGTGCCCACCAGAACACCTCCCACAATCTTCTGACTGTCTGAAGACATGTACTGACTGTAGACCACAACAAAAAGAGGATCACATTGAGATGAGGATGATATTCTATGTTGTAGTCCACTATGAACAAAGACAAAACGTCTACATAATTTACAAGACAAACCTTATGGGTAAGTATTCGCCAACTTTTGTAAGTATTCCATGAGAAGGATCCAGTTGATAATATTTATTGTAGGACATGTAGGATACAACGACAACCATGAATCCACCAGGACTTCCTGGATACACACCAGTCATCACCCCATTCTGTATTTGACAAAGACAAATATTGAGTATATAAAATAAAAGGAACAATGGCTTATGCCATTTATTCTAAATCTTTGTCAGGTTTACGCTGACAAGTTTGAAAAAAATGGCTGAGCAGTAGCCAATACCATACACAGGAGAATGTGAGGATGAGATGAGTAAAAGCATACACCCACAATCGCTAATTGTACAGTAGGTCCCATTTCGTTTTGTCGTCTTCACTCACGCTTTTCAAGAATCACGCAGCTGCGTGAAACATATTACATCTTATCGCCACAAGGTGGCAGGTTAAGTCCGCTTTAGCTCTGCCAGCGACTTGAACGCTCAGGTATAAGTCTGCGTGCAACATTTGCCCAGTGATACTATGTTGGCCGAATGGTTAGCGTTGCAGGTTAGGACCCGGTGGATCCGGGTTCGATTCTTGTCTGAGGCAATTTTGGTTGCACACCTTTTGGTTGCTTGTGTGCAATTACGTAACGTTATCAGCCTGTTATCTTCTTTCCTTGTCAAAAGGAGTTTTTGCTCACTTCGGGCCTATCAAAACGCGGTTTAAAGTCAAAGGATTGACTCTGTAAAACACTGTACTAACTTACTGCACTGTATTGTAAGTACTGTAACAATACAATTGTATTTTACTTTATTACTTATTTTTACTTCTTATTTTTTAATAAAAACACTTCTTCTCAAAAGTTCCTTTCTGACTTCTACAGTATGGGATAGCCAGCAGCAAGTGCGTTATTGAACGTGAAACATTGGAACAAAACAAACACGAGTGTACACTGTATTCTGAATACTTTTACTTTGATTAGCAATATATAGGCTGTGTATAATTACAAAAATTTAAACTACACATGTTACATATAGCTACCATTAATTAGGAATTCTAAAATGCACAGGAGTAGCAGATCATATGGCAAACATTTGCATTAACGTGCATATAAGGCATTTTAAGCGTCCCGCACATACGCACGGCTCATTCACTCAGCCGTCTGTCCTATTAGATCCAGTGTTTTCTCCAGCGCCTGTGTGGCGTAGCAGGATTGTCCAAGACTTTTGCTTGGACGATCAGGGTTCGAGCCCAGGCCAATCCTCAAATTCTATTAGCGGGGGGAGTATATGAATCAGATTAATCCGTTACTGAATAAAGTTGCATTTTTTTCCTGCAGTTTGGTTGGTGCAGATTGTGAAGTTTACAACAGTTTACTACAGTCTAGCACAGTGTTTTTCAACCACTGTGCCGCGGCACACTAGTGTGCCGTATGATATTGTCTGGTGTGCCGTGAGAAATTCGTCTACTTTGTCTAAAAATAACTGCATTCGCTGTTGACGAGCGGTGACTTGTTTTGAACTGTGAGTAACCATGTAATACTTTTTCAAATCAGTAGATGGCAGCAGATAGTTAAGTACTTTGAAACTGAAAAATTGGATGCGACCACTGGCTACAGGTCAGCATTGTGGCGAGAAAGGTAAAATTGGATGCGACCAACAAATGTGGGAGGGAGCGAGACAAGAGCTTTGTGGCGAGTGAGAAGTGAAAGTGATAGAGACGTTTTTGAAAATGAATTATGCCGTTTCTGAACAGGATTAACATCCTCCGCTCTGCCCCGGGGCAGCTGTGGCCGCGTTGTAGTGGTTCAACTATGAAATGTACAATTTTTGTACAACAGCTCTCGCGAACGCACTTCTGAACTGGGTACCGAGCGCAGACCATAGTCGAGTGGACAGAACCACAGACATGCGGACCGGACAGAACCATGGACTCGCGTTCAGGACCTCCCGTGTCCCTCATCCAAAACTCCTGAATTTAAAGCTCGGATACCTAAATTTTTCCCATGCACTAACAATGCATGTTCTTTGTGTGAGTTATTATTTGACTATTTGGGCAGAGAGTGGATTTTCTTAGTTTTTTTCCACACAGTTAGTGCCACTTTATTCCCAAACTCTTGTTAATTGTATCGAGAAATATTAAATAAAGCTTAATGTCAAGGCCTGGACTTAAGCATTTTGATGAGAATAACTGTATATTGTGAATATAGGCTACAGAGTATACTGTATACATTATAAGATAAGATAAACTTTATATATCACACAGAGTATGAACAGTATATATTTTTTTACATTAGTACTGTATACATTTTTACATTTTCTCCTGGAGGTGTGCCGCAAGATTTTTTCAGTGAAAAAAGTGTGCCTTGGCTCAAAAAAGGTTGAAAAACACTGGTCTAGCAACTATTTTAAATGTGTTGGCCTAATTACTAAGTTTTTTTTTTTTTAACACTGGAGAAAATCTGCTCGGTTTCAGGTGGGAGTTAAGAGGTTAAAAGCAGAAGATTTTCCGACAATGTTCCTAACCCTGCAAAGATAAAAAGCCAGTAGAAAAGTGGAATAATTTTATCTTCATAACTTGGTGCTGATTGTGGAGTTGTATCAAAAGTCTTTAACTTGTACTCAAACCCAGGTCCTCCTGCGCCAAAGACTTGAGCTTTATGACTGGGTGTCATAAAGCTCACAAGTGCCACCGATCGGATGACCATTGTAAATCCTGGTTTATCTCTGGTAGATTGGGAAACTCTAACTTAAAGGTGTTTAGTAAGCTAAAATAACTAAGTATGGTAAGCTATACCCCAGAGATGAAATTTGTCCTCCTTATTTGACCCATTGTTTAGACTAGAGCACAAGTGTCAAAGTCAAGGCCCGCGGGCCAAATCCGGCCCGCGAATGAATTTTACATGGCTCATTTCCTGCCATTGACGCACTATTACGTCAATTGCGTTTTCCGCTATTTTCATGTTCCCAGATGTCTATTATATCTAATATGTTTGGGGATAAGCTTGAGAGCATATTGAATCGAGCCAGCAGGTGGCAGCAGCGCTCTCTGAATGGTTTGAAAACAGCTAGATGCACTTGTTGTGCCTTTTTTTTCTCAGCTTTTTGGTGATTTCAGTAAAACCTTCCTCTACTCAACTGGGGATTACAAGCTAGAAACAAAATTGTTTTTACTGATGAAAGTAGACAGTCTATTCTTTCAGAATCTGGTTTCGGATTTCAGATAGTCATAGTACACAATATTCTGTGGGTCTTGAAAAATCAATAAAAATCATCAGTAACTGCTGGAAATATGGGAGTACCTGCTCTGAAATAGGCTGGCAGGCAATGAGTTAATAAACATTGAACCAGTCCGGCCCTCGGCTCGCAGCAAATTTGTTTTTTTGGCCCTCTGATGTATTTGACTTTGACATGCCTGGACTAGAGCAACTTGTGGCGAGCAGCACCTGCTGCATCGCAGCGACCCATTTTGAGATGTTGATACTCAACCTTCGTCATGACTCTTACCCACTATGTTGCCCAGAGGAAACCCACATGGGGAAAAACATGCAAACCCCACACTGAAGTTATGTTTACATAATGGATAGCCCAGAACAAAGATATGCAATATAATCCTTCATAAAATGGTAGTTTTTTTGTATTTACCTTGAAACGGATGAAGCGTTTTTTCCATGAATGAAGGCCTGACAGGTAGATCTGACGAAGAGCCTCATGGGACAACTGCAGGTCAATGCCATCAGGACCAACAGTGAACTGAAAGGCCACAGCCTGGTGGGCTTCTGCCATGGCGGATGCAGCTACTGAGACTCACTAGTGCAATAACACATGTGTAATAATTAGTGTAGTGTTATGGTGACAATATAGTATGAACAATATGCACATCAAACAACACTGAGATAATCTGAGATTTAAACTGTCAGGGTGTAGGAGATCGGATACAAGTCAAATTAAGGTTCCTCTGCAGAAATGAATGGGAAGGTGTTCCCAATTCCCAGTTAAAACCACTTCACACCATTTCTTAGATCCTGTAGAGTTACTCTGTGCTTATTATTTTGCGTGCACTGCTGTTAGAATCTATCTGTCTTTAGTAATAACTAGAAATACAAGACATGTGTAGAAATGTCGCTGTTGCTTTTGGCTTCTTTTGTATGAATGTAGTCTTCTTGATGATCTAAAGTAACATCATCTTATCTGAAAGTGTATTTAAACGTATGAAAACTGTAGAGGAAACACAACATCGTCTTTTATTTGCTTTCTATCATCTACGACTGTCTCCTCTCCAGTCCCTTCCCCCAGCTCCTCTCAGCATCACATGATCCACCCTCTGCTGCAGAAACTAGGGGAAAGGTCGCAGCGCTTCGTTGCCGCTTAGACACCGAATTAAAACAAGATTCAGTGTCTCAAATATTCTATACAATAAAACGTATCTTACTAGACATATATCTAACATCAGCGAGGACAATAATACAGAATTGTTTTAAATATCACGTTTAAGGCTTTGGTGCACCGGCTAGACACCATTAATAAGTAAAGCAAATATCAACAACACAGAGCTTGAGAAAAGCCACTGTTCCTATAACATTGGAGTGCACAACATTTGATGTAATATTGGTGAAATTTGGCGTGTTGTCGGGTGTATTATACGTCCTTCCCACGTGGCCACAAAAACGGGGTCATCTGGGTACAAACATGAACTACAGATCAGCGGAACCGACGAGATCAATGCCTTGAAGAATGTTTTATATTATCGGCGCTTATGGTCCTTGTAAAGACACTGTTGATATGATCTCGCTGTGATCATAAAAGGGACACCATAACACGAGCACTGACCTTCACTTGCAGGTGACTTCTGACTAAAACATTACTGTTTATATTTGCTCTTACATTTGGCCACATTCAGCCTTCAGTGTACAAACTGGATTTCCATTCACTACAGTTGTATACACGGTGTATTAACATTCTGCAGTAACCTAATCGTCACTGAATGACCTTTACTTGGACTTTTGCCTACATTCAGGCAGTGCATAGTACACAGGCTGGTCTACAGCTCCCACTCTGAACTATCTGACATGTTACAATGAACAATGAAGGCAGCACATTAGTTATACGCTGTATTCTACACGTCTGTGTGAAAGCTCACAAGAGATACGTTTTGTGTACAATTTCTCAGAAGTTGAATTTAACGCTTGCATGGGATCCAGAAAGACGGTGAATGTCTCAAAGAGTTTTTACGACGTGATCCGTAAACGCAACACAAGTGCACCGAAAAGGGAAATGACACTCTTGTCTGATTGGCCCCTGCAGCCATGTTTAGCGCCAGAATTCCTGTTTCTGCGCAGTCTGCGCTACATATACATGTGGACAGGTAGAGATAGACACATCTACTCACCGACTCTTTTGGTATGTTATGAAGCAGCTTCCTGGTCAGAAGAGACACGAGTGGAGTGTCAGCGGCTCTGCTGAACACACATGAATGAGGCGGCGAGAGAGACGTATCAGCCCCACCACGTGACTCCGCGGCTTCACTATGCAACAGCGCCCTCTATCGGATTACAGACACCACAGCCGGCCTGCAAGCATTGAGCAGGAAGAAACATCAGAGTATCTGATTCATAGTGAAACATTAGTAACACTAGAAAATAGAGCGCAGACGTGGAAAATCATACAAACCAGGATGTTTGCAGGATATATTTATGCTAACGTTAAAAATAACTAAATTGTTCACAAAGCAGACATTTTGTGACATTTTGAAATTGTACACAATTGTACAATTTGACACATAGCAACCTTAAATTCATGATTACATTATTCCTCCTTCTATTCACCTATGACATTGTTTCCCCACTGACGGACGACTTAAGGTTTATCTTATCTTTTGAACTCTGAGTCTTCAATGTGTATACAGTTTGAAGCTGTATAATTAGATTCATATTCCGTTTATTTGCCATTTGTGGTAAAACCACATTGGAATACCTATGCAACAGTGTGCACCGCGTGCACCAGACAGAGCAGATAGTGGACACCTGAGCACTGTGTCCACCTGAGGTGAAACAGAAATATTATAGGCACAACTGCAAACCTACGGAGATGGGATGCAGCCGAGTGGCCCATCAAACACTATAGAGCACAGCTGAGCTTGGGATTCTATACAAGGGACGACAATAAGTCATGCACATAAGAATGGAAATGCATTTGCACTACAAATATGTGGAAGGAGATGCTGTGGTCAGATGAGACCACAATTTAACTTTTGGTCAAGGAAGAGTGTCAGAATTGTTGGAAAGGGGGTGGAGAAAAATAAAGGACAATCTTGGAAGAAAACCTGTTGCAAGCTGCAAAATATTTTTTTGTTGGTTGGGACAGTGCATGCTAATGAACACACCTCTCTGGATTGTAACCTTGCTCGACATGGGGAGAACATGCAAACTCCACACAGAAAGGCTTAGAGGTGGAATCAAACCTGCAGGACCCTTTTGCCCAGAAACTTTGGGTGACAGTGGCTCAGTTGGTAGAGCATTGGCCTTTGAGCCTGAAGGTTGTGGGTTCAAGCCCACCATAACACCTACTTCACGACTTCCACTGATGACTGCTGTCGTTGTGTCCTTGGGAAAGACACTTAACCCCACTTTGCCTGAAGCCGCTGCTGAAAGATCAAGACTCCTGTGGACTCACCACTCACAGGAGGATCAGTGAGGGGCTGTTGCTATGTGTACTGGGTGCAGCTCTGACTGCCACCCCCCTGACCCAGAAATGGATTAAGGGGAAGAAAATGGATGGATGGATAAATCATTTACTTTTTGTTTTAAAAAAAAGACAACATACAGGTAGACATGACATCGGAATGGCATGGATTTAGTCAAGCAAGAATTAGAAAGTAGAAGTAAGTAACTAGTAACTTAACCTAGCACACTAGTGGACGGCTGTTTTGTATGTATTATGTTTAAATCTTTAATAAAATATACATATTAAAAAATATATAATTATATATATAGTGGACGGCTCGATACGAATATCACCACTAGATGAAGCCATTGCAGCATACTATAAATACCGTAGTCACAAATAATACGCTTTCAGATTTTTATCCAGTTAATTTCATGGATGTATTATGGGTTAAGTAGAAGCAGATTACCATTAACGAGATAGCCATGGAGTAGCTGCAGGATATGGATTTAGTCAACCAAGAAATAGAAAGTAAATCGTAACACACTCGATAAGAATATCACGACTAGATGGAGAAATGACAACGTTTCATAAAAACTAAAAGCTAAAAGTACCGTTCTCACAAATACCCATGGACGCTACTATTCTTTCAGATTTCATCTAGTTAGCTATAAACGTTATTATTATAGATCCATGCTTTAACCTAGTTAGTTAGTTCATTGGAAGCAGCTTAGCATTAACGAGCTAGGTAAGTAGCCAAACTATGAAAATATCGAAAATATGGGGAAGTCATCCAAATAATATGTTACCTGAAATAATTAACCTGTGACAAACCCGCAGAATGTAAAAAACATGAAGTTTGTCTGCCCTGCTTCTGCTGGTGGTCCCGCCTATGGCCCACCCACGGTCCACCCACGGCCCGCCTCTGTGTCAGCCGCACCGCGTGTAGTGAAGAGCTGCAGACCGATGTGAGAGGCATGTGGAGCGAAGCATCCGCGTTTATTTCAACAACATTGATTTCATTAAAGAAAGTCACTGAATGGCACTGTGATACGAGGCTACGCCAATTCCGCTGTAGGCGTGGATTAAAGCGACACTAGCGGATGTGAATGTGTACTTCTGGATCCTGCTGAGCAGAAGTCACCCCACACGGTAAGAGATCAGGCTTTTTTCTTGATATGTCACGATTGATTGTTTTTGACAGTTATTGCCACATATTAACGAGAATATAATTTTCTTTCTTTCATTTCCGTTGTCTAACATGTTGTAATTCCACTTTTTGCGCTGCTAATGTAAAGTAAATTACTTGTTTCTTAATTAAAAGTGCTTTGGTATCTTTTGTTTGAAAAGTTTGCAATTGAACAATTACACTTTTCAAAGATTGAAATTAGAAGATTATCACTTTAAAAACTCGACCCTGATTGGGAGCGTTTCCTCCAGATACTTTTTTAGTTCCTCTTGGCCCTGGTTCTATCCAGGCCGAGCTGGATCTAAGTGTTCTAATTGACAGAGATTGGTAAGAGTGCTCCTGGAAGCCATGGCAACAAAGGAATGTCCACGGGTATTGGGTAGTTTGTCGTTATAGAGTAATGGAAATTCAACCAGGTAGAGTAGAGCCGAGCCAAGTAGGGCTGGTGGAAATCAACTTATTTGATCAACTTCATGAAATCAAATTGTGACAGAAGCACAGTTTGAGAATGTTGGGTCTTATCCATGGACGGGTCACATCAAATAGACCTGATAGTTGTCGTTGCTTAACAAAAGTACTTACATTTGTCATTTGTGTGAGTCTCTATGGTGAAAATAAAAATAAAAATGAAAATATAATTGTGGGACATCTGATTGCTGCATCACTGTGACCGGGCGGGGGTTTCACACATGTGTCAATCTGCTTTGTGGAAAGTTTAGTTTTGTTTCAATTCCTGTAGATAATATAGTCTACAATATTAGACCAAAAACGGCTGGATTCAGGTTGTTCTGAGCATTCCAATGAGATATGACTTGCATTGGACAGAGCTGAAGTTGGCTGAATGACAAATGTTTAATCACCAGCTAAATCAGCGCCTTACAATAGAAAATAATTGTATATAGTCAAACAATGTCAAAAACTGGATTCCAGAGCTTCACAACAAGGTATACCGTGCTTATGTTGAAGATCTGAAGATCTTTTATATTTATGATTTTATATGTGTTACTTTTGGTTAGCAAGACACAGTTGGCTTGCGGGCCTTAGTTTGGCCATGCCTGATTTAATACACGGGAATGTCCTGCTCTTGAAGTAGGACAGTGACTGGTTGTGTGTCATGTCATGTCATGCATGGTCCCCTCTGGAAGGGATCACTGGTTCTGTGGGGAGTGGGGGAGGATGGAGGTCTGAGCTCTCATCCAGATGTCTGCTGCTTCATTGGACCAATATCTCAATATTTAATAAGTATAATAATAGTGATGATATAATGCATACCTGCACTTGATACATTGTAGTGTGTTAGTGGGTGTTCTCTGCTTTAAAGTGTTAATAATATCCGTGTCTCTGTGTTTGTAGCGTGGCAGGTAAAAGGAAATCACAAAACAATGTAGTTCCTATTAATTACTTTGTTTATTGATGGCTTATATTCTAAAAGTGTTCCTTTTAATTCTAACATTTGGTCATTTGCATGCATGTGTGGCATAGACACGATTGTATTTTATAAAATTCCATGACGCTGTTTTAATGTCTTTATTGGGTGGGTAACACAACATTATGGGAATCTCCTAATTTGGGAAGTTACATGAAACTGAATAGACCGAATGCAAATACCAACAAAAGTAATAAAGTGGCAATATTTCTAAACAGATTTGTTTTTGTCTAAATTAGGTCCAACTGGACTTCACTATGAAATAAATTATAATGAAAGATCAACACAAGTGAACAACCTGAATGAGGTTGGGAAGTGGTAATCGTACAACAGAAGCCTCTATAGATGTTATTGTTATATTTTCACTTGTTACAGAAACATTTAACATGTATCAAAGTGTCAAATCCATTTCTATATCTGTAACTCTAACTCTCATTTCATCAAATTTCTGTCCGAAAACTATTTTACAACATTGTCTATAATGGTAGCAAAGCAATGTATAACACTTAATTAAAACAAAATACATGTAATAAATATGAAAGATTATTTCCATGAATTTTTAACAGTTTCTGAAATGTGTGTCTCTCTTGAAAGCAGGCTTCTTTGTTCTTTTGTGATAATATTATTTCTCTGGGAGATTCAATAGCCTTTTTGTCCGCCTGAATGGGGCTTTATTACGACCGTCAAAGGCTCGATGTTGGGTGTCACCACACAGCGAGGCTAAGGCAGAAACTCAGGGTTGGTGCTTCTTTGATATATTTCTATATTTCTAAAAGTAGTAGTAGTAGTAAGTAATCTTTATTTATATACCGCCTTTTCACTGCAGATCTGAGTCTCAAAGCGGTTTACAATTGTTAATTATGGGCATTTGTCTCTCACTCCACACAGAGATGGGAGCGGGGTCACCAGTACAGAGGCGCATGCCTGAACTATTGGACATATTTTTAGTGGTAGGGGAAACCGGAGTACCCGGAGGAAACCTACGCAGACACAGGGAGAACATGCAAACTCCACTCAGAAAGGCCCTGGTCCGACCGGGATTTGAGAGGCGAGAGTGCTATCCACTCAGCCACCGTGCCGAATATAAAAGTATATTTTGTTATATTGTGAGTATTGAATAAGCAGCTGGACCCTCATACTCATATACCTTTAGTTATGTGTGAAGGGAAAATTCACTATTATTATACATTCTGGCAATTGGTATTTTGGATTATGTCTGTGCCAGCGCTTCAGAGGTCACATCCTTGTTGTAACTATGTGTCATTTGGAAGGGAAAAGGCACCACTTAAGGAAGTTTGGGCTTAATGGGTCCTGATGTTTGTGTTGTAGCTATATCAGGCTTTGTTGTAGGAAATTCCCTCCTCTTTACTGTCCCTATTATTGCATGTCTAATAATATGGATCCACTTATACTGATTTAATAATATCATTATGGGATCTAGGTCATCCATCAAATATTCAGGTCATGGGTAAAGATAAGTCAAATAACTGTTACTTATCATATTACGCATGCACAAGTGAATAGTGGTTCTGGAGAAAAATGAATTTGGTAAACTATATAAGCGTAAAATGCATTTCTTTGGAAAATGTCTAAATCACAGTAATAATGTGGAAGTTCCATGTAATGTTATTTTTGGTCAATGAACAAACATGACCAGACAAAATCTATATCAGAACTACACTCTATATCCCAGGGCCCAAGTGTGAATTCCCATCAAGTGTCTGTGCTGGCATTTGTTTCTAAATATGGACTTGGAAAAGCTAGGTTGCATCTCTGTCTGGTTCAAAACTCGCAGCAGTTTACTTTAAGGAGGGAAAAGTATTTGCTGATACTGTCTTGTTTTTCCTGCCAGGGTTATGATGCCTCTATTGCCAGTAAAGAAAATGTTTTTATGAGAATGTGGCTTCCTCACCGGGGTCCTGACTGTGGTTGTGTGGTCAGGAATGCTTTTCCCGTGACATTCTGGTCCTCTTCATTCCAACGTTATAGAGAGTGGTGCCGCTCTGGGAATCGCGGGGCACAAACACAGAGGGTCTGGCTCAGTCACATGCAGCGGCCCCCTTCCTTTAACTCCACCTTGTTATTTCCTCTCTGGAGTTTGAGAAAAGGTCAAGTTGTGTTAAGGTGGTACAAGTGTAAAACTCCAAACTACTATGCTAACTAGCTGAATGCTTGCTAAAGTAAATAGCACTTTCCTAATACCACAATGATTTTACCAGCAGTTTCTTTAATTCAACCATGTATTACAAGCCAAGACGATTATGACGATGTGATGGCTACTTTTATTACTTTGATTTGTTTGGTTTGTGTAAGCCCTCAGTCGTACAGGGATTAGTCAAAGCAAAGGAAGGTTTCTCATCCATCATCTGTACTTCTTAGCAAGTTTTCTCGACGTTTCGTCCTCAATCCAAAGGACTTCTTCAGGGAATGAATTCTCAGACCGCGCGTTGGAGATTTATTACCACACCAATAGGTTATAAATCTCCAACTCGCGGTCTGAGAAGAAAAGTAGGCCTACTATGGTTTCTGTAATGGCACAAGACCTCATACCTAAAGAATTTGGGAGATAAAATGCCACTTGATTGTGCTCACGACGTGTCATAAAGGATCCAAGAGTTATATTTCCTCTCTAGTCGTTATAAGTGGTGCTTCTGAATTACCTTGTTTAGAAGCTGGAGCAGTGCCACACCAACATAATGTAGTCAAATTTGGGACTGAACAAGTAATTTTATTTATTTATAGTCTGTATAACAGGGAACAACAGTGCAATAGGGAATAGTGCAGTAGGGAACAGTATAATAGAGAACAGTACAGTAGGGAACGGTGCAGTAGGGAACAGTGCAATAGGATGTGTGAAATACAATGTCTCAAGTCTTTCTGTCAATTGTTGTTTACTGTCTCACATGTCTGTACGTGTTCAGCTGTCCTTGTACTTGTCCTGTATATAGTCTTGTGTACACTGTATTTTTTGCATGATTTGTATTGTTACATCTTGTTTGTTTTTATGTTCTTTGTTAACATCAACCTGCCAGGAGGTCTGCAGATGGAAATTAGCCTAAGGCTATAATCTGGCATACTTACATTTGTTAAATGTTCATTAATATGCATTGTACCTCCTTTAACACCCAAATAAATAAATAATAAATAATAAAAAATAATTTGTGTCTGTGGTATTTATTACATGTGTCCACTACTGACTTAAATCAGTTTACACATTGGGAAACTGATCTGTGAAGCATTTTTGCCTCAAGTGCCTCAACGATCACAGACTAAACTAGGACAACTGTGAACATGCTGTGAGATGCCAACAAAGACAGAGGACAAGCAGCCATGGATGGTACCATTATTCCATTGGAGGAAATTATTCTCATTCACAGTGATTAACTTTGGAAAAATCCAAGTCCGGCAGACAATACGGAGTGAGACACGACAGAAATCCCCTCAGGGACACGGCTATTCTCAGCCCTGTTCTTTCCACAACTTTCTGTTCGATGTTTTGCCCTTGGGTCCGACGGTCTCTTTGTGGTTATTTCTATACAAACATATCACAAAAGTCAGTGACGGAAGAAGATGACCAAGATGCAGTGATTACAATCTACCCCAATGTGTTGGCTTGTGTCGTGTTTCTGTTATTGTTGGTCTTTTTTAGTTTGTTGCACCATTAATGCGCAGAAGTCTCTCACTCGGTGCTTATAATTGTTTGTAGGAAATGGTGGGTTGCAGGAAACAATTATCCATTGTCCAGGCGCCACCACACCTGCAAAACACGCGTCTATGCATTACCCTTTCTTTGTTACTCTACATATTTGCTAACTACAGAGCTGTGGAAACGAGCATTACTTATCAAACCTAATATTTCTACAGTTAAGATTGAAATATAATGAATTACCGTAACTTGACAGCTTGTAACACACATCCTCCTAGTAGTACATTTAAGGACATTTATGAACATTGGTCGTCTCACTCCCTATGGACCTATGTGTTTTTGGTATTATAGTTCCTATGTCCAAACTGTTTGAACCTCTGATCACTTTTTGGTGAATCGACAATTTTGTAAAGTCCTCAGAGACGACTGCTGTTGTGATTTTAGGGCGATACATTTTATTTTATTGAATTGGAGAGTAGCACAGAGCGTATGTTGTTAGAGAAAATCAGATAATCTTGTCCTATAATCTCCCAGAAATATGGGTAAAGTTATAAAGTATGAATCGACCTTTTAAAAACATCAACTTTTGAACAGAGAGGCAGTGTCTGCAGAGTAATTGCCGTGTTATGTAGTGACTTTAAGTAAGTTGCTTGTCACTTACACGGTTTAATTGTATCATCACTGTCCATCTTCTAATGAAATGAATAATAACAAAGAAGAAGTGAATGTGTGATTTTTGGGCTTGTCATCTCTCCAATCCAAAGCTGCTGATGGAGAACCACTCTGCCGTCTACACCCTGGTCCACGAAATGTGCCACATAATTTAATATTATTTATTTACTTGCCTTGGTAACATGTTTCGTCTGAGTGTTCTTGGACTGGAATTGGTTGAGTCAGTAATATTTGGAGCTTTTCTGCTTTAGAGTCCAGATGGCCGCTTGTGTGCTGGTTTGATGTTTTACACACAATTCCCCTATTGAGAGAAGTCTTGCATAATCATACAGGATGAATTGACATATAATTAAACGTAACGTAGTTGACCACAGTTGTAAGGTGTAGCTGTTTGAAGCTTCATTTTTGTGTTTATTGAGAGCTATTTCTGACACCTTCAGTGGTTTTTGGTGGGTGGTAAAGCCTTACGCTAGTCTGAGCTCATGGTTTCACACGGACCTCTGATTATAGTTTATATTTTTGCTATAATAACACAAAGCCAGATGTTAGACAGGTGAGGTGCCCAAACTGTGGCCATGTTTCCACAGAGTCGGGTTGGCACTTCAAACTCCGTACATCTGCTGCTTTTATCAACAGACTTCTACAATTCACATGCAGGAGATTTAGAAATGTCTCCTTTCAATTCAATGCACAATGCAGGTCCCACAATTCAATACACTAAATACAAATACAACACATTTTGTACTTGTTGGGTGTAATTGGGTACATTTACACTCAGTCCGATTGAGATCTTTGTAAATCTGCTCAGGGAGTGTCCAATTTTGTCCTGTTTATGTAGCTATTTTCTCAAATGAGTATCGTCTTTCAAGTTTAGGAGTAATATCTGATTTGTGATCTTGAGACGTGTCGTGTCTTCCCTCAAAAGTAAATTCCTTAAGTGTCATTTTCACTTCCCATATTGAACTATTTTTTAAAATGTATTTATTAATTTGACAGGGACAAAGCCATACATAGTTACAGCATGAAAGATGCAACTGATGCGACACATACAGAGTGTGTTGCTAATGCTAATTTCCAACTCCTGTCCCTGGGTGAGCTTTTCCCTACAGTGCAACACATTATACATAATGAATATAGACAGCCCTAAAACACATATTTACAAAAGTGATTAGACATAAGCACTACATCATACGCTTTGAGCATAAACCTCTCCAATCGTATTGTGAATATCTAATTGCATTTTTTTTGTCAGATGATCTGTGCAAGATATTTTACCAAAATTGTTCAGCCATTATATCATATAGGCCTAATATTGGCTGTAATCTAGCCACATATGGCTGTTAAACAAATGTATGGGTTTCACTTCCTGTTTTATCAGGGTTTTTTCCCATTCAAATGTTTGTTTTGGACTGTTCGTCACTATGGAAACACTAATTATTTGGTTCTTCCGTACAGTAAGATAGCGGTGTAGGGTAATAACATTTGTCTATCTTACATTTGTTTGAGATTGAAAAGCCAAATAAGAAAACAAACTACTATGACAGCACATTTTCCACCATTCTAAAATCCATGTCCAGCCACTGCTTTGGGCTGTTGTTTTTCGCCTGAAATATTGTAGGAAAACGCTGACAAACGAGCGGCCCCATGTTCTCGGCAGTTGCTTCATAGATTTGATCTGCAGTGAATCACAACTGCATGATGCTTGAGGTTACAACTCTGCAACGAAGGCGTATAACATCCTACATTTAGAGTTTTGTGTCATAACAGGAAATTAGGTCACAAGGCTCAAAGGTTTAGCTGAAACTCAAATTTGTCTGAAAGCGTACACAGGAAAACGACGCCAAACCGTCCCTGACAACACGCTTCTCAGTGATTCAGTTAAGGCAAGGCAGGTTCATTTGTAAACCATAGTTCATACACATGGCAAGTCAAAGTGCTTAACAAAACAAGAATAGAAATATCAAAGTACTGGATTTGAATATTTTCAGGAAGACCTGTGCTTGATCTTGAAATGCTTAATCTTGTTTAGTCCTGACACTAGGCACCAGCAGTAGGCCAGTCCCTGTGCTCCTCAGAGTCCCAGCAGTAGGCCAGTCCCTGTGCTCCTCAGAGTCCCAGCAGTAGGCCAGTCCCTGTGCTCCTCAGAGTCCGAGTCGGTTCATATCTCATCATGTCACAGATGGTGCAAGGCCTTGGAGAGACTCGTAAACAAACAGAGCTGCTTTAAAGTCTATTCTCTCAGCCTCAGGAAGCCAGTGCAGAGATCTGAGAACTGGACTAATGTGATCGTACTTCCTGGTTCTCGTCCGGACTCGAGATGCAGTGTTTTGATTATAACTCTCTCCATAAATGGTGTGAGCTCACTGAACCTGTTGTTGAAGCACTGATGGAGACCAGTTTCCTCTTCTCCGCGATCCGCACACAACACCCTGAGCTTCGACTCTGTGCAGAAACAGGCCACTGCCTCCTAAATATTTACTGTGTGGATATAAAAGTGGACACAGTTAACGCCTCCATATCCTTTTCAGAAACACAATGACACGTTATGTAACTCTCCATTTCAAACTAGGACTTGATTATAGAGGAAATAAACACCAGCTCATCAGAATGGAATTACATTTTAAAAACAAATTTACTTTGCTTAAGAGATGAAATGTGAATGAGTTTGCCTAAAAGGAATTGAAGGAACACAATGGAAGAAAGGAAACGTTTTATACTTCTTATCCTCTTGTTTAAAACACAAATAAGACATTTGTATCTCAATCTGACCCTGATGTGAAGCCGCTGGAGGTCATCCTAATAGATTACATTTTCAAACAAAACCATTTTTATCCTCGCAAGACATGATTGTGATTATTATTTTTCATTATTTGTGATTACAACAACCGGCTCAGAGGCTACAGGTGTAAATTAGAGTTTATGCCATAGGTCCAGGCACCTGCATTTATCCGATTACTTTTTCCAGTGTAATTCCAAAAAATCCCATATTTTCGCTTGTACATGTTTTGTGTATTGTGTATAGTGCAGTTAATGATTGATTTACCAAACTAGGGTTTATTATAATTCTTTTAAATGTGATTCATTAGATAAATAGCACAAAAGGCTGTATTCTAAAATTCTTAAAAGTTATTCCACACTCAGGGGCTGGCGTAGAATATATTTATAACAAGTGGCAACAAACAGTTGAATATAACATGTGTTCAGTGAAATGCATTGGTTTTTTGAGATTTGATGTTTCGATATACAGTAAAGTCGTCAGTCGTGGCGTGTCTCCTACAAATTCTTGGGCGTTTGTGAAGCAGGTGCCATGGCAGCTGTGGGTGCTGATGCGACATGTGGTATTCTGAGGCCTCTTATAAGCACATGTGTGATTGACTAAGCATTCCTCTTAGATTCTAAAGGGACGGGAAGCCTTTCACTGTTAAATAAGTTAGAATTAGACGTGATTCATATTCCGGTGTTTGATGTTCTAGTGTTCAAAACTCAAGACTATGAATCAATGCCATTATTTTTCTCACTGACCATTTGCTGATGTAGGAAACAAGTGGTGAGGCTGGTATGCTGAAACCACTGTTGTGATCCGGCCAACTGCTGAACAGCTGATCCAGGCTGTTTTACATCAGGCCGGGCGTGGCTTCACTGGTTTAAAGGGCCAGATTTGGGTCAGGGAATGAGACGGAGAAAAACTTCTTTATTTACATTAAATTATGCAGAAATGTGTGCGCGATCTGTTATATAAAGCATTCTTCCCTTTTTGTAGCACTAGATTTGTGGGAGGTTTATTTTTATTAGTGGTATTTGTTAAACATTCAACTCGTGAATGGTTTGTTGTTTGTACAGATCTCTCTCTCCGGTCGCCATAGTTTGAGCTGTCTGAAAATATTCCAAGGTTTTCCACATGTTTTATGAACACAGAACTTTGTCTTCCAGATTGGGACATGAAGAAAGATATAGATGCTCTGATAACCGAGGAACGTGCAGACATCATAAAGAAATATGACAAGGTAAATTCTGTTTGTGTATGTTCTCGCAGCTCTCAAAGTTGTTTAGTCAAATCACTATTTTCAAATGTTTACGCACGTCTTTAGGGAAGACAAGAAGGCGTCAATATTGACCCATGGGAAGATGCCGACTACAGCATCTATAAAGTCACTGATCGATTTGGATTCTTGCAGTAAGTTCTCTAACTTCTTAAAAGCTTTGTTTGCTTAATCAATCATTTTTTATTTCTATTCTTTTTCATCTCCAGTGAGAAGGAACTCCCAACTCCAAGTGCCCTTGAAGCAAAGGTACAAACATGCTTTTTAACTGATGTCTTTGGGAGCATTTGTCTTTTTAACACTGCCAACTTGTCATGCAATATCCTTAACTTTATCAGAATGTGCAAAAACCACAAGTCACTGTCTCTTTACTGAGTCGCTCACTGTGTCCCAGAGCCTCATACTGCTAATGTACAGATGTAAACATACTGCTGCTAATGTACAGATGTAAACATGCTGCTGCTAATGTACAGATGCAAACGTACTGCTGCTAATGTACAGATGTAAACATACTGCTGCTAATGTACAGATGTAAACATACGGGTGCTAATGTACAGATGTAAACATACGGGTGCTAATGTACAGATGTAAACATACGGGTGCTAATGTACAGATGTAAACATACTGCTGCTAATGTACAGATGTAAACATACTGCTGCTAATGTACAGATGTAAACATACGGGTGCTAATGTACAGATGTAAACATACTGCTGCTAATGTACAGATGTAAACATACTGCTGCTAATGTACAGATGTAAACATACTGCTGCTAATGTGCAGATGTAAACATACTGCTGCTAATGTACAGATGTAAACATACGGGTGCTAATGTACAGATGTAAACATACGGGTGCTAATGTACAGATGTAAACATACTGCTGCTAATGTACAGATGTAAACATACTGCTGCTAATGTACAGATGTAAACATGGTGCTGCTAATGTACAGATGTAAACATGGTGCTGCTAATGTACAGATGTAAACATGCTGCTGCTAATGTACAGATGTAAACATGCTGCTGCTAATGTACAGATGTAAACATACTGCTGCTAATGTACAGATGTAAACATACGGCTGCTAATGCATAGATGTAAACATAGTGCTGCTAATGTACAGATGTAAACATACGGGTGCTAATGTACAGATGTAAACATACTGCTGCTAATGTACAGATGTAAACATACTGCTGCTAATGTACAGATGTAAACATACTGCTGCTAATGTACAGATGTAAACATACTGCTGCTAACATGTACAGATGTAAACATACTGCTGCTAACATGTACAGATGTAAACATACTGCTGCTAATGTACAGATGTAAACATACTGCTGCTAATGTACAAATGTAAACATACTGCTGCTAATGTACAGATGCAAACATACTGCTGCTAATGTACAGATGCAAACATACTGCTGCTAATGTACAGATGTAAACATACTGCTGCTAATGTACAGATGTAAACATACTGCTGCTAATGTACAGATGTAAACATACTGCTGCTAATGTACAGATGTAAACATACTGCTGCTAATGTACAGATGTAAACATACTGCTGCTAATGTACAGATGTAAACATACTGCTGCTAATGTACAGATGTAAACATGCTGCTGCTGACATGTACAGATGTAAACATACTGCTGCTAACATGTACAGATGTAAACATGCTGCTGCTAATGTACAGATGTAAACATACTGCTGCTAATGTACAGATGTAAACATACTGCTGCTAACATGTACAGATGTAAACATATAACTACACTTTGCCTGCACTAGAATACACAGTACATTATACTTGCCTCTTACTGCCAAATGTAAAACTTTCACATCTCTTTTATTATTATTTTCAAGATAGTTTTTATACTTGTTTTTGATGCTAGATTTGTATTAGTATAGCTATTGTTCACTTAACTTTTGCTGTGTGATCCTCTTTCCTACTCTTCTATAACTTCTGATGCAACACTGAAATTACCCCACTGTGGAACGAATAAAGGATCTCTTAATCTCGTAATAATGAAAACAATAGATTTATTCAAAATATATGACTTGCTTTTATTCATGTAATTTGTAATTGGCATAAAAAACAGATTTTGCGTGAATACAGAAGCGAGGCAACCAGTGTGTGCCATCGGCCCCTCCGACCACCACCAACCATTCACACACACACCAGACTCATTCTAGGCAATCGGGGTGAAGTGTCTTGCCTGAGGACACAACAGCAGTTTGGCACTTTACAGCCGCAGCCGCCCCACTGTAATGTCAGGTGCCACAGTGGTCATATTTTGAATCAGTCTATTATTTTTGAATTAATTTATCTTTTTACATTGATAAATCATTATGACACTGATCTCACCCCACAGTTTTATACCAGAATCAAACCACTCGATACTAACCAGCCATTTTAAAACATGTTACAGTTAAAGCTACATGAAATTGAGCGAGTGGAGAAATGGCTGAAGATGGTGAAGAACTGGGACAAGTACAAAAACAGTGAAAAGGTTCGTGACCCTCCAGTGCCACTCCACATACGGGTACATTTACTCTTGACGTACGTTTATTACAGCCATAGATATATTTTCCCTCTTGATTCCAGTTGGCAAAGAGAGTGTACAAAGGCATCCCCCTCCAGCTCAGAGGTCAAGCCTGGGCTCTGCTTTTGGATTTGGAGAAAGTGAAGCAGGACAATCAGGGAAAGTACGAGGTGAAGACTGTACTAAGTTTATGTTTTATTTCACTTGGACAAACACCCATTATAATGTTTGTATCATGTTTTTGTGCAGAGAATGAAAATACAGGCTCGTAACTTCTCCACAGAAATCAAACAGATCGACTTGGATGTCAACAGAACCTTCAGAAACCACATCATGTTCATGGACCGCTTTGGAGTCAAGTATGTATTTGGACTCAGTGTTGTTAATGATTAGTGCTTGTTCCTAAAGCCTGGTATTTAAAAGATTTGAATGAATTGTAGATCTTTAGAGCGATAGTAAGTAATTATTTTATATAAAATTTAGGGCTGTCAAAATTATTGCGTTAATTACCGTTTTCATTAACGCGTAAAAAAATAATTAACTGCCATTGACGTGTTAACACGTCAATTGCGTTTCCCGCTATAGGGCTGGAAAGTCTCGTCCCAGAAGCACTTCCGGTTCATTGCTCGGATACAAACAAACCGTCAGCTGTTCGAAGAGGCGGTTTAAGTGAATGGTGCAAAATGCTCTGCTTTGTTTTCGGCTGTTATCATCAAAGTTTACATGAAGCATGCTCATTTTTTAGGTTTCCCAAAGACCAACTGAAGCTGTGTAAAAAGCTATGCAGTTGTGATAAAACCTTTTGTCTGATTTCACAGATGGTTAACTTCAATATGTATTCAAGCTAACTTGTAGCTAATGCTAACCTGTAGATAGTGCACAGCCGAGCCTTTAATTGTGGCTTGTATTTTAAGATAAACGTCTTGATGAGCACGCGTTTTTGACGTCTCTGCTCTGTTTACCCTTTTAAGCCTTTTAAAGCCTTTTAAAGCCTTTTAAACACGTTTTTACGGTGTATTAGTGTCTTTTGTACACTCTAGTGTTTTTACCTTAAATGCAATGGTTCCAGAGCATCACGTCTTTTAACACAAAGACCCAATCGAAACGCGCTAGCTCGGAGGCTACCACGAGCGCACCACAGACATGGAAAGTGACACTGCAATGACCACGAACGACATTAGTCGCCTCACATTGGAGCTTCGTGAGAGGGACCGTGCCACTATTGCAGACCTCCGTAAAGAAGTCCTTCGCCTCACTGCAGAGCTGCAGGACAAACAGTCACTCGTGTCCAAACTTTTTGATGTTGCTGGCGGGCAGCACTCACGGCTTATGTCACTGAGCGCTGCATACTGTGACACTGTCGTGTGGGAGAGATCTGTCAGCTCTGGACCCTCCTGTTCTACACCTAAGCGCCCGGTTCCGAATGAGGAACCCGCGAACTGCGAGGAGCCATCCAGCGCCGTGGCCCATGTCCTAAGCCTGTCAAACCGCTATGCAGCCCTCTCCACTGACATCCCAGCCCCCTCAGCAGAACCCCTGGACTCTGCTGCGTACTCTGCCGTTCGTGGATCCAGGTCCACTGCGAGAAAAACGCTCCTAAAGGAAGCCGTCCTCAGACGAAAGAGTGGTCATTCCCCTTCTCTGACCCCAGTGCATCACCACCACTTACCTTCACCGGGTCAGCAGCAGCGACCCGAGCCTGCTCCTCACGCCGCTCCAGCGTCCCCGAGCACACAGCGTGGGTTGCCCGGAGCTGAGAATCAACACCCCCGCTCCCCTCCATGTGTTCAGCAGCGCCCTGGTTCGGACTCATCCGGCCATGGACACCGAGCGCCTTCTCCGCGGCTACGTCCACTCTTCGCCCCGACTACTTTGATTGTTGGAGATTCCATCGTGAGACACGTCCGCTTTTTTAACGCGGTCACTCAGTGTTTTCCCGGAGCCACTGTACCAGACCTGCTCATACGTCTCCCTCCTCTGCTTCAGTCCCTGCCTGATACCATTTCAAAGGTAATCGTGCATGTGGGAATTAACGACATGAAGCTGCAGCAGTCCGAGGTCACAAAGAAGCATTTTATGGATCTATTCCGTCTTCTCCAGTCCTCTGGGTTGTGTGTTTTTATCTCTGGTCCAGTCCCGACTGTAAACCGGGGAGACTGCTTGTACAGTCGCGTTGTGGCGCTGAATATGTGGCTCCAGTCTACATGCAGCACTTTTAACTTTGTTTTTGTGAACAACTTTGGCCTGTTCTGGAAGCGTCACGTGGCCTATCGTCCAGACGGTCTGCACCCGAACAGATACGGCACCAGTTTGTTGATGGACTTTTTACGCCATGTTGTTCAGTGCTCCCCGAGGGGGGCGTGACTGTTTACATCCGAGGCCTCTCGGCCCCCACTACCACCTTCCTCCTCCACTCCAGCACCGGGTGAGTACTGTGGTGCAAACACTGACCCCTGTCCGTCTGGCAGTGTAATACCAGTCCTGCCACTGAACGGCACTTACTCAGTCATGCATCTGGAACTTAACAAAGTAAAACAGAGTTCACTTTTTAAACCAATAGAGACAGTGTGTGTTCCTCGCACCGGCTCAGAAATGTGTTTTAATTTGAATAAACACAAATATAACAGAAGGACAGCAGTTAGACGGTCCAACTCAGGAAATCTAATTCCAATTCTTTGTAGTCAATCAACTAAACCCACTGACACTGACATTATTTTTAACCTTGCTCTGCTTAATGTCAGATCACTATGCAATAAATCCTTTTTAATTAATAATTTTATCTGTTCTTATGATCTTGACTTTATGTTTATGACTGAAACTTGGCTTGACCATAATACAGAAAATGCAGTTTTAATAGAAACAACACCACCAAATTTCAAATTTGAATCAGAAATTCGAGAAAATAAAAGAGGAGGAGGCACAGCAGCAGTTTTTAAAGATTGTATTGTCTCCCATAGAGTACCTCTTGGGAAATGTTCCTCATTTGAGTATGTCTCTTTTAAAATAGAACAAAAACAATCTTCTATTCTTATTATTGTTGTGTACAAGCCGCCACAGTCATGTCATAGTTTCACTGATCATTTCACCGAGTTGCTTTCAGTTGTGTGCACAGACTTTGATAGTTTAGTCGTCATAGGTGATTTTAATATACATGTAGATAACGTTAATGATAGTTACGCGAAAGAGCTGAGCTCTGTGCTGGAAACCTTTGGTCTCACTCAGCATGTGAGTGGCCCCACCCATAGCAGAGGACACACTCTCGATCTGCTAATTACTAAAGGGGTTAATATCTCAAATGTAAATGTGGCCAATGTTGCTCTGTCAGATCATTTCTGTGTATTTTTTGATATGTGTCTCAATAGTAAAGCACGAGCTGAATCCTCAATTGTTAGAAGAAGAAGACACATAAACAAAAATACAGGTGAACTTTTCATGGGGATGATAAACTTTGATAACACGTTGTGTTCTACTGTGGATGAATTACTTAACTCTGTCACCTCTAGTGTTTTGGATGTTCTGGACACGATTGCTCCTGTAAAGGTCAAAATTGTTACAAATAAGCAAAAGGCGCCATGGACAAAAGCAGACTCTGTCAGGGCACAGAAGAGAGAGTGCCGGAGAGCCGAGCGGAAGTGGCGAAAGTCAAATCTCCAAGTTGACCATGAGATCTTCAAAGATGCATTGTGCAAGTTCAACAGTGTGCTACGTAGAACGAGGGAAACTTATTTTTCCGAAACAATCGAAGGTTGTAGTGGCAATCTACGCGTTCTGTTCTCAACGGTAAATAAATTGACAAATCCCCCTGTTAAGATGCCATCAGAGCTTACCTCCAAAACCAAATGTAATGAGTTTGCAGAGTTTTTTAATGACAAAGTCCAAGGCATCAAAAATGCCATCACCTCCACAGTAGAAATTACAATCCAACAGCCAGTGAAGCTTTTTGGGCTGACACACTTTACACCAGTACAAAATGAAACTGTCCAAATGATAATTACAAGTCTGAGTTCTTCTACATGTAGCCTGGATGTATTACCTCCTAGATTTCTTAAATCTGTTCTGAGCAGTCTTTTACCTTCACTCACGCATATAGTAAATATGTCTCTTGAATCTGGAACATTCCCAATGGCCCTGAAAACGGCAGTCATCAGACCCCTCCTAAAAAAGAGGAGTCTGGATGCCTTGGCACTTAAAAGTTATCGGCCCATTTCAAATCTGCCTTTCATGGGTAAAATTCTAGAAAAAGTTGTCTATCACCAACTTACAGAATTTTTAATAATCAATCACTCTTTTGATATGTTCCAGTCTGGTTTTAGACCCCACCACAGCACAGAGACCGCTCTAGTGAAGGTAACAAATGACATCAGACTTAACACTGACGCAGGAAAAGTCTCAGTTCTTATCCTGTTAGATTTGAGTGCTGCTTTCGACACTGTCGATCATGGTATCCTCATTCAGAGACTTGAGGACTGGGTTGGTGTTTCTGGAACAGCCCTAAGCTGGTTTATATCCTACCTACAGGACAGAAAGTATTTTGTGGAGATCGGAAACTGTGTCTCAGACCATCTGGCCCTGACCTGCGGAGTGCCACAGGGCTCAAATCCTGGGGCCTCTCCTGTTTAATATTTACATGCTGCCTCTGGGTAGGTTAATACACAGTAATAACGTGTCCTATCACAATTACGCTGACGATACTCAGGTCTATGTGTCCCTGACAGCAGGAGAACATGGACCAGTGGACTCGCTCCTTCACTGTATCCAACAGATCAGTGATTGGATGCAAAATAACTTTCTCCAGCTAAACACAGAAAAAACTGAAATTATTGTTTTCGGACCTCAGAAACAAAGAGAGAGCGTTATCTGCCACCTCCAGTCTCTCTCCCTGAAACCCTCAACTCAGGTCAGAAATCTAGGAGTAATAATGGACTCAGACTTGAATTTCAATAGCCACATATCATCTGTGACATCATCAGCTTACTTCCACCTAAGAAACATTGCTAAAATTAAAAACATTGTGTCTAAAGCAGACTTGGAGATTCTTATCCACGCATTTGTCTCCAGTCGATTGGACTACTGCAATGGCTTGTTCACAGGTCTCTCTAAACAAGCGGTAAAACAGCTGCAGTACATCCAAAATGCTGCAGCTCGAGTCCTGACTAGAACCAGGAAGTACGACCACATTAGTCCGGTCCTCAGGTCTCTGCACTGGCTTCCTGTGGCTCAGAGAATAGATTTTAAAGTAGCTTTACTTGTGTACAAGTCTCTCCATGGCCTCGCACCAGGGTACATCCGCGACATGTTGGTGCCATATGAACCAACTCGGGCTCTGAGGAGCACAGGGACTGGACTTCTGTTAGTGCCA